ATGAAATATTTACAGATGGGATTTCCTTACAGAAGTAAAGAACAAATGCACACTGTAAAATTTAAGTCATAGTTACAGAAAAACTTCAAATTAGATAAGAGGCAAAGTCAAGCTATGTTGAGTAGCAACAGTATCTTTTCATAATGAAGTAGGCAGAAAAATTAGTAGAAGACAAAATGTTTACAGTATTGTCTATTGTTTTATTTAAACTATATTTAAATCTGGGATAATTTAGCATTGTATTGACATTAGCACTTTGGGCATTAGCACAGCCACAATAAAATACTTTCAACTTCCCTTCTTTTCATTGCGAGAGATTTCAGCATGTTCATTATGCTTAGCTGTACTATATTAATCACTTTAATTAATGGTCTTTAATTTGGCTGGATTATGCCTAGCTAATACATGCTTGGATTATAATTTCACTCCTAGACTCTATCCCAAAAAAGATTGCTTAGCTCTGATTTACAGTATTGGCACTGGAATTACAGCTTCTCGGGGAATGAAAATCAATAGTTTGAAAGCAAGTTAAAGATTTATTCTATTTAAAGTAGGTAATATTATAAAATTCTCAGCAAAGATAACCACAAAATGGAGCTGTAAAAAGGTGACTATCTTGAATGTTGCCAATTTCTTAATCTTTATCAAATTAAAATAAAGAGTGTTGCAAAATTGAGTTGTCTTCTTATAATACATATACTGAACAGATTGATGGTTTTGAAAGGTCAGCATTCCCATCTGTAAAGTAGCCTCTTCATTATGACAATTATGCTGACATCTAGTGGTGATTTGGTAATTTAACTTCCCCTGTGCACAATTGCAGTATCAGTTGTGTGTGCAAACATTGCCATGATCAGAAAATCCATGCAACATTGAAAATATTTTTCTTTTGGAAAGTAAAATTTGGCTCACACATCAGCAGCTTGTCATGTGGAGGAAGTTACTACAGCAACTGATTTAAAAATAATTGCCCTGCAGTGGTTATGGTAGATGTGCAGTTACCCTTAACGGTGGGTAACACCATGGAAAATGACTACAGAAGCTGGGTGGGGGAATATTGAGCAGTAGGCGATGGTTTCTGTCCACACCAAGGTAAAACTTCTCCTATGGTGTTCTGTAGCATTTCATATACAGGGCTTCCGCTGCTGAGGTATATGAAGAGCCAATCTGAATGGATAAACATTCATATGAAAGTTAGAAGTTCAGATTCGTTGGGATGCTTTGGGGTAAGTCAGTAACCTTCACCTTAACTTACTTCACAGGGCTGTTAGGAAGATTAAATAACACAGAATATTATTTCATTATGTATTTTTGTTATTTCTAAGTCACTGAGTTCCTTGGAAGAAGGGAAGGATTAAAAATGTAGTTATTAGCAATAGATGTGAGAATACTAAATGAATTTTACTGCATATTGGTGGTGTAATACAGATGAGGTAATTTACTTTTGCAGGTAACTGTCTCTTTACAAAAATATTTCACCAAATAACAACAAAGAAAAGTACTTCTCAATATTTCATCTGGAGTAGCTTTTCCCATGCTGCCATTAATGACTGTTAATAACAGAAAACTAATTCATGAATGAGAGGTTATTTAGCTCTTAAAATAACATTGATTAGATTACCTATATTATTCTAAGCAAAACTAAAATCTATAAACAGTAATCAACAAAGACATGCATACAGCCACCTGGCTTTTTCCGAGTTTTCCCTCCCCAGTAAAGATGACACATTGTTTTTTAAACTCCTGCAAATTAAAAAATCTCTGCACCGGATTCTCACATTGCTGTTTGAATGCAAAGACTGCTGGGAGTAGGATGGGTGGATTTAAAAGCAGCATGGGGATTTTGTGAGTATAGCTTTTCAGAGCTTTCACAAAAATACAAATCCATCTGAAAAATTATGGTATGGGACTATATTACAAACAATATCCATTTTATGAAATTTCTCATTCTATGCAACAAAATTCAACTCTGCAGTGTGTCCCTTGTATCCTCAATGCATTTCTATACTATCAAATGAGTCTTTTCCTCTTCTCTGCTAAGAATTCCACCAAGAGAATTGAAATAGATAAATCATGCAAAAAAGCAAACACTACAGATTGGAATGAAGGATTTTTCTGGTAGAACTGAAGGAAATCATACCGTACAGCAAGATAAGAACTGATTTTGCTGTCCATGATTCAATGCCATTTACCATAGACCTTTTGCCCCCTATAAAAGACATTAGATGCAGAAAGGAGAGCTATGCACACAGCTCTTTGATTTTGAAGGAAGACTTGAAAACTAGTTTCTTGTATGGACATTAAGAGCATTTTAATCAGCAATTTAAGTATTAAACTTTTCCTTAACTCAGTGTAGTTTATCTTCATTTACACAACAAATTATAGTTACAGAACAAAATAATGTTATATATAGGCTTCAACAGTCCTAAAATAAAGCTAACATATATATAATCCAAGTAGTTAACAAGTAAAGCAGTGTTAACTAATCAAATCTTTTTATGTATAGTATGCATCTTCTACCATGAAGAATTGTACACTGTTTTAAAGCATCAATTGCAGTTTGATTGCAGTTTGTCTAAAATACTTTAACAAGCATTACAATAGAAATAATACATATTGCCAAAGATTTACAAGATAGCAGTCGAGTATCCTCTTCTGCCCACAACTGATGGAGGGCATCATGCCATCCTTAGCGAAATGAATGTTGACCAGTAATACAAACCAGCACCTTGGGATATGCTGAAATCCATCTCTGAAAATGAGAGTATCCAATACCCTCATTTGGGATGAAGCCAACTAGCACCAACATGAAATGGGGAGGGAAATCCAAACTTTTTAGGATTTGTTCAAACCATAAAGTATTGTGTCCTTTGGTTTTTGTAAACGTGTGTGCTCATCTGAAGCTTTGCTATTGGTTGATTGATGTCTGCACTGCTTGCTTGTGTTAAAGCAGTCTTTTGATATGTGTTTAATGCAAGTGACATAAGGTCTTAGCCTAAAGTTCAGAGGTCAAGGATTTACACATTCCCCCAAAGCAGTAACATCTCCCTGTGAGTCAACTTTACTCAAGCATTTCTGCAGCTGCTTCTATCAATAGTTGCCAACACTTAACTCCAGAGGCTGCTATGTTTTGAACAGCTGCCTTTTTTTAACCTGTCTTATTTGGGAGAGAGGATCGGTACAGGTAGCTCCTGCTATTACAGTGATGAAACGACCAAGGGCAGGTGTTGGCAACTCTACTTTCATTGCTGTCCTACCTTATCTCACTCCTATGTTAGCCATTGCTTTATAGGAAACATTATTCCTATATGCTAAATCTCTCTGCAGGCTCAACAATCCCTGTTCATACATCTTTCTATCCAGTGCTAGAATACCATTTCCGAAAACCTTTTTCTATTCAATGTAGACCTCATGGAATTATTGGTAAACCTGGCCTTGAGAACCAAACACCATTTAAAAGTGTGGCTCCTCAGCATTTTTAAATAAAATATTGAATAACCAAAATGTGGACTTGGAAGACAGTGCAGTTATTCGGATGGATCAAGCATTAAGCCTACCTTAGATGGAGGGCCCCCCTTCCATCCCCAGGAGACTTCAGATTCAGCAGGGAAAACTACTGGTGAAAGGAAGAAAGGCAAACTTAACTGAGTCTCTCCTCCAACTAGAGTCTCCCTCTTTCTGCTCCTGAAGGTTGGGAGCCCCTTCAGAACATTTGGGGTGGTGCTGTTGGAAACTGTGGGAGAAGAGAATCAGCAAACCTTGCAGTACCTCCCTCCCACCAGTGGGAGTGTTCTGTGTGGAACTCTCTCCAGATGTTGCTCCCGCTACGGAATAAAATCAGGTGGGCCCAATCAGGTGTTCGCCGGAGGGTATGCTGCAGACTTCTGGGGTTATAGACGATTATGCTGTTGCATAAATTGATGGGCATTTCAGGCAATGCCATTTGAAATGAAATCACTTGGTGCTGAACAGGTTTAATATAGGGTATGCATCAATACCTTTACATTACTGATATTGGTAAACACTAACTCAATTCTAGTATTGATCCATGTGGCTTGTATATGGGACAATGTTCTCCTCACTAGTGGCATTTTCTCCTCTTACTTGTCCTCATAGCCGCAATCTATTAGGAAGAACTGCTGGAGTAGCTCTGTGTTTTATATAGCATTTGCAAAGAAAAACTCCTGGGTTCATTTAGGAAAGGTTCATACTTTGTTCATACTTTGCTTTTTTCAAGAAGCACCGATGTAAAACAAGTGTACCTGTGACAAATGCAGGTGTTGCACAGAGTGCGGAGCTTTCCCTAGTAACCTGCAGTTTGGCGAACCAAAGCCAAAATAGCTGTTTCCATGATCAACTCACTGATGTTATTCTTAAATGCCTGAATATCTAATCACAAAGAAGTTTTATTTGGGAAAGTGAAATCTTAAAACCCAAGCTATGCAGTTGGTTGTGTCTATAGAAGTGCAGGGACAAGGTTAAAAAAGCAAAACAAAAAATCCAACTTGTCAGCACTGATACAGCAAATCCTATTTATCCAGGAAATAGCTACTGCACTTCATGCAGGAATACCTTCTAAGTTTGCAAAATCTGAGTGGTACTCATGGCCAGATCCTACAGAACAGGTGTAAAGCAGAATTTGCGTTATGCTCCAAATCTGTGAACTGAGATGAATATTTAACTGAGTTCTTTTTCTTTTAAACTGGTGCGGTGGCTGAGTTGCTCCAAGTTTCCAATTCTGCAGTAATAAAGGAAGTTTGGCAAGAATATCTTTCAAACTTTAGTAATGGATCGCAGAATGCTAAGCAGGGGTTCTTTCAGAAATAATTTTCTCTATGAGGAGCAGCAGCCATAGATGGAAGGGTTGATTGCAATGACCCAGTGTGTAACTGTTTTCTTCAAAGCAGAGGCAAGTAGCAGCATGTGTGGTTACACTTGTGTTATCTTTTCAGTTTGGAAGTTCCTCCTACATTCATCCATAGCCACAGTTTGTCTCATTCCTAGGGCTGCATCTTTTTTTTCTTTTTCGTTTTCTCTCCCGTTTGCATCTGTGACTATGAGTAACAGAATTGCAGAGCAGAAAACCAAAGTTTAGATGAGAAAGTTCTTTCTCCATGCAATAAGGCACACTACGCAATTTTTCTCAGTGCTGTTAATCCATTTCACACAATAGCATTAGCAGCGAGTATCATCCATTCCCAACTAATTCAGCGTATCCAGTTATACACTCCTGATGTTATGTTTGTCCTATAGGTCTTGGGAATGTTTTTTATCTAAAAGATCCATACATGACAGTATCCAGTATAAAAAGATCAATATATTACTGTTGAAGACAATGCTTTTGTGATTTTTTTCTCTTTTTGTATAAAAATTAGAAAAGATCAAAATATATCACACTATTATTTACACAGTCCATGCTTGTAGGATCACTGAAAAAGAACACAAAGAGGTTTTAAGTCACAAGCAAAGCATGCGTCTCACTCTCATCCATAGACACACAATGGCACTTTGTTCTTATGCTAGCTACTGGAACCACCCTGGAAATTTCTATGTAATTTTGGTTGGCCATAACAAAGGCATTAAACAACTGTGAAAAATAAAAGCAAGTCTCTGCTTTTAGATCCTGCGCATATTATATTTTAACAGTTTCTATAATCTGGTGACCAGCAGTCTTTCCCAATGAGGCTTTGCCTACAACACAGGATTTTAAGGAGCCTGGATGTTCCATTTGGAACCATCCTGTGTTTTCCATCCGCTGCTTCCATCTTTTTGCTTACTACAGAAAATCTATTAAGGGGAGAAAGATGGAATATTTACACAGTATGTTTGGACTGGTAACACTTGGAACTATCCATCTGAAAACATCCATGGTTGACTTTTAATTGAAGCTTTCTTGTCATATGTTGCATGGATTTCTTTGCAGAACATTTGCAGAACAGCTACGTGGTCCACGCCAGGGGTCCTCAAACTTTTTGAACAGGGGGCCAGTTGACAGGTGCCAGCGGTGGCCGTGGGCCGCCAAGGTGGTGCTGGCAGGGAGGCGCCGGTCAGTGTGGGGGTGGGGCATGTGCGCATGTGCACACACGCAAGGCAAGGCGGAGATGGGGGGCGGGGGGGGTGAGGCGCCGGCTTGTTCACAAGATTGTTTCCGAGCGAGTCCAAAATGATCTCCCCGCAAGCAAGCTGCCACCGGGTGTGAGTACGTGCCGACTTGCTCAGGAGGAGATCATTTTCTCCAAGCATTTCCAAAACAACCTCTACGTGAGCAAGCTGCACATGCCCAGCGAGTGGAAAACCTGTGGAGTGGGCCGGTTAAAAGGGCATGGTGGGCCGAATCTGGCCCGCAGGCCTTGGTTTGAGGACCCATGGTCCACACCTTCAAAATGTGTCAAGCCCTACAGGCTAAATGTCCAGGTGGGGCAGACTGCCCCTTTGGCAGAGCAGTCCTCCCCGTGACTCTTCAGTGACACCATCCCATCATCCTCTCCAAGGTAAACTTGCTAATCACCCACGTGTGTGATGCACAGAGACCATGGTTGCTTACCTCTAATTGCCATTCTTTAAGTGGCCACCTGTGCATTCACACATCCCACCAACTGGCCTGCTGGGTGTCAAACTGAGGAGAGCTACCCACCCACCCCTTTGTGGGGGGCACGGGGCGGGACCAGTGTGGTACAACACTCTTCCCTCAGTCTCTTCTCCGGGATCTCTAGGCAGTCTCAATGGAACTGTGGGAATGGGTGGGAGCCCCTCCCATGGATGCAAGGAGCAGGAAAGGGAGGGGCTCCTGCCCAAACTAACACTTAGCTGTAGAATCTTCCCAACAACAGGTTCCTTGCAGAGCCCTTATGTGTGAATGTACAGATGGCTACTGGAAGAACAACAGTAATAGGTATGCAACCTGACTTTCTCTTTCCTGATTCAGAGTGAAACACTGAGAAGGCTTCATTTTTCTTGTGTCACATCATCATGGAGCCAAATCTGTGTGACATGACCACATAATATGATAATTGATCAGGTGAGAAAATGTGCAGAAGAAAATCCTTGGTCCTTTTTTTTTTAAAGGGAGCAGTACAGAAGGGAAACACAATGGCTGTAAAAAGCCTTGAGAAACAAGTGGCATGCAATATTTTTGTGGGTGGAGATAGTTGGGAAGCAAACATTAATATAGCTTTAGTCTCAAAACCTGGCTAATTAAGGAAAGGGGGTTACATATTGAGGGAAGAATTCAACTCCTCCTCCACATGCTGCATTCAAAAATGTGTGTTTGCCACCATTATGCTCAGCTGGAAACATTTTGAAAACATCATAGTAAAACATAGCATGAAGGTTACTTAAAAGCAAGATGCAAAGTCAGCATAAAGTTGAAGTAAATCTAGATTTCTTTGCTATACATAAAACCAAGTATGAGGAACTTTACTGCATTAGTTTCTCGACAATATTATTTCTAATTATAATTTAAAAGTAGAATACTGGATTTCGAGGGACAACAATTTATTTTGTCATAATACAGTTTGTCCTCAGAAATTTAATAAATTAAAATAGAAACATTTCAAATCTGAGAGAAAATGTCAATCAGCAGCCATTTATTTAACATTGTAGATTGTGACTGTTTCTTTCCTCTTTGGTCCAGTCTCTCTCCGATGGTTGCAGTACATAGGAAGGTTTCATCACAGAGATCTAGATTTCCTCAATTAATTTTTCTTTTTATAAAATACCTTTAGAATGTATTGGTTCTATGTTATTTCTTTTGCTAAAGAACATTCTATGTTCAGTCATAAAAGAAAATCCCAGTTAGTCTACAATACCTTGTGCCAACATCCTGGTACTGGTAATCCATCTGGTCCCTGCAAAAAGTAATGAACATTTTTGTATTTTCAGACAGTGCTTAAGGATATAAGATAAATCTATGACCTACAAATATGACACCAGTTAATGGGAAAAATATTCATGCACAAACCAAGTACTTAGGAAAAAAATCACATTCTCTGAATAAACTTCACAAGACAGATAATCAGGGCTTTTTTTGTCATAAAACGAATGAACGGCGAACGGCGTTCCAGCACCCTTTTTTCAATGGATTTTGAATGGAGTAGCAGATCAGTGGCAAACATCATTAACATAGTGCCTGCAGGCTGCTATTGTGTCTGCTATCTGATAGTGAGAGGTAGCTGCTGGGGACACTGGCTGCTCCACTGCTTGCTCGGCTTGGGATTGGTGTGTGTGCTTACTGCCGGCGGGACGTGAGTTCTGGCACTTTTTTTTTTTTTTTTTTTTACAAAAAAAGCACTGCAGGTAACTACCAGAAAATACCAAAAGCCACTTTTAATAAACAGCTTTCCTGATTATAGTACACTTACCTGCTTAACTTGAAATGTTTTGGTTTATGCTGTAACGAATTTCATGGGGCAAATATTACGAGTTTCACCAAGATAGTGGAGGAACTGCTACACAACACACACTCAATTTTGATAAACATTTACACCAAAAATAGGCAGGCTTCAAGATAATGTTGTTGAGCTTAACTCCCTGACCGGATTTGCATTACACGACAACCCAACATGGGGGCCAGCTGTGCGGGGAGGTGTCATGTTGTCTGGGCCTGGAGAGTTTCTGTAGGGCTGGTATATTTTTTCACAAACCCATACCATTGTGAGCCAAGGTTCGTCCTTCGAGGCGTCAAAAGCTGCAGACCATTTTCTTTGCAAAACTTACTTTATGGCTCCCAAGTGCATATTACTCAGAACAGATCTCTGAACATGCACAGAGCAGTTTGTTTAATCCAATCTAGTGTTTACCTCCAGGAACTCTCCTTATGAACATGCCTGGGCTCCATCCTCTTGGGAGGGGCTTTCTGAAGGTGAGAACTCCTTCCCCTGCACACTGTACATTCAGTTGGGCATCCCACCTCTGCTGACACCCCACCATGGGGTCAAGAGCAGGGGGGCTGGTCTGTGTCCGAGAATTCCTCATCCTCAGGACTCCTCCCACTGGCTGTACATCCTGACATTTGCCGGGAACTTCCTGGCTCTGGCCTTGAGATAATCACCTCCTTCTCTTCGTGTATCTCAGAGTCTTGCCTTATCCCATCCTCCCCAATCTCACTGTAATTAGTTTCACATTTGGATACTGAATTGTCTTGGATGCAGCCAGAAGTTCATGAGAACGATTGTCCAAAACTGCCATCCTTCTCACAGGGAGTTATTTGTGCCATGGCAGGTTGTCCTGTTGTCCAAACCCAGAACTGATTATTGTGGCTTGCTCGAATTGGCTACAGAGCCACATGGCAAGAGCAGTAAAAGCCTGTGCTGCTTGCTCTTCACATCCTGCCAGTGACTGCCCTTCCACCAATGTCCGAATGGAGTCATTAAAAAAAAATCTGTCTTTGGTCTGATGCAAGTGTGCAAGTACAGCGGTCTGATAAGTGTAGTCTTGCCTGGTCTGTTTCCTTGTATGTTCAGCTGTCAAATGAGCTTTGAAGTGGAGTAGGCAACATAATGAAAATTGGTAAGATTTACATAAATGCTACTTAAAGGCCAATTTACACACACTTGTGAAGGACCAGAGAGAAATAAAAGGAAAGGGAAGGTTTCAGAAGCACTGAAAATGGCCTGGACAGGGTAAGATACTGTCCCCACACCATGCTTTTGATGCACTTGCTCCTTTGACACCCAACAAATACAGGTCTTTGCAGCTTTCCTAGGTTAATGTTCATGGTGTTGCATTTTGATAGTGTACCCTCCATGGCACATTGCCCAGGCACTTGGGCACTTGAAGGGGTTCTCATTAGAAGTAAAATCAGAGATGGCAAACATGATCTCCCCCCACAGAAGGGGGGAAGAGCCACAGTGAGTGTAAAAGGGCTTGCAGTCAGTGGGAGGCTCCAACCCAGCGATAATCATTCTACCATGCCACTGGGTTGTTGGCAGATGGCTGGCACTGGTGGTGGGCACTGGAGCAGCTCTCTGGTGGTGACTGTGACTAGCTTGGCAAATGCAGTAAAAGGTTTTGGCCATTTTGCTGCTAGCCACTTTCCGCAACATCCATTCATCCAAGTTTGGATGACTTGACAATTCATCATGGGTCCAACAACCCAGAGAACAAGTTGAAATGTCTTCTTGTACATGAAAAGCCACCCTGTGGGAATGAGGTGGCTTCACACAACATGACAACTCCTCTTGGCTTGCCACTCATGATGGATTGTCATGTTGAGCAAACCCAGTATTTCTCCAGATTGCAGCTATGAAACGGGGGATCATGCCCTTCCTTATTAGGGCATTTTTTAAATTTTCTTGGTGAAAAAAATGTATCATCATGCCAGAGTACCCCTGTGTAAGGGATTAACTAAGGTGACTGTGCATGCATATCTGTGGTCATACAGATGTTATAAGACAGAGAAGGGCCCCTTTGATATGTGAAATGAGAAGGGGGTTGTGGAAGTAGACACATGAATATCTAGAGTTGCCTTTTTTCATTCTAAAACCACTCAACCAGTATGTACAAGGAAGCTGTGTTTCACAACTCATGGCATCCAGGAAAATACAGTTAAATTAAAACCAAAACAACCTGATTATACAATGTGACAGTATAGTTTTCTGTTTCCACCTAAGCATTCAGCTGCCTGCCCCCTGCATTTCACTTGCTATTGGCAGCCGGAAAGGCCATGGCAGAGCAGGTGGCCAGCTACTGCTGCAAGGTGGAGGAAGCCAGAGGGCAGGGCTGAGAAGGCAAGTTTGAATACTCGCATAGCCTTTTGCTCTGATGATATTTTGCTGCTTTGTAAAAGCTGAACCTACCAAATCATGCTTGCCATTAGATGCTTTGTGTATTTTAACTACTGCAACTTTAATTCTCCTACAATCAGAAGACCAGGATATGCATTTTTTTCTTAAAGGGAGAGTGTGAGACTCAACAGGTGAAATCAACATCTTAAGAGAAAACACACTACTGTGTGTAATATTAAATAAAGAAGTAGCATACCCAAAGTAAAGCCAAACATGGAATTTAGAGTTGCGAATGGAGAGGATGCTTAATCTTTTCCTTACTTTAAATTGCTCTTGTCCTACAGCAGCTTTTTTCACCATGAGGTTTCAAATATATGTTTTTAACTAATATGTTTGAAACGAATATGTGAAATTCTCATGTGCATTTAAAATCTGGTTAGGGACAATGAGGGAAATAGTAGGAGGCAAACAGGCAAAGTGCCTCCTTCATACCCCACTCTAAATCCTCTCCCTCATGCAGCATTTTTTTAAAAAATAAGCCACTAGTGTACCGTTCCATCAGTTAACATGTAATGTGTAGTTAATTCCCAGATTGTCCATCTTGGCACACCCACTAGAACTATCTTCAGTGGTATTTCTTGAAAGATATGGTGGAATCCCCCAACAGATGATGCAGAAATTTTCCTCTCAAGGAAGAAAATATGAAAACATCAGATCTAGTTCGAGACAGCCCAAAGACTGGTAATAGATCCCCATGTGGTGCTTCAAAATTTCTACCATATCCTCTATTACTGCTTGTTCTTTTGTCTCAACTTGCCATTATGGCCACACTTCAGCTGGCCATGCAAAAATCACACAAAGCCAGTCTAATCAAGCATTCCTTTCAGGGCCACAGCACAGGCAGGGAAGGAGCAGTGCAGGACTAAGTTGTTCAGGGAACACCAATACCAAGAGGAAAAAACCATCTTACGTGAAAAACATTTGTATGCGACTGAACATCTAAAAACATACATCAGTGTACTACACTGTTTGCCTTCCTGGGCTCCAGCTGGCAAGCAGTTGCTCCTCCCTGGCAAAACCGTGACAGTGGCATGGAGCCCTGCATGGTCCAAATGCAAGAACCTGAGAGAGCGCTGGCACCCAGATCCTATGAGAACCCATAAAATTGTGCTCTGACGATTGGGCCGTCTAACCTGCCACTGTAGGTTCTGAGTGGCTTTAAGCCAAAATTCTGTCCTCCCCAGCACCTGCTACTTAAGACATTTTTAACTGGAGATACCAGGGAACAAGCTGTACAGCTCTCCAGACATCATGTACTCTATCACTGAGCTATGGTTTCTGCCCCATTCCCATCAGTATTAACAGTGAGATGGCTCTCCACAGTGTCTCAAATGATGCCACACACACCCTTCTGCTACTTGGCACCCATCTGCCTGGAATGGACTACAGCTCATACTAGCCTGCGAATGTTGCCTAAGACCTGCACTTCTCTATAGTGCTGGGTTTTTGCAGGTACCTGATAATCACATTCTGACACAAAAAAGCCTTTTCATCATTGTGTATGCTCCCACCATCCACAACTTTAAATAAAAGTATATGTGCCATCGTTTGTATCATTGAGAAAGGGATTTGCAGTTCCGGAGCAAAAAGATGAGCAAGAACGCAGAGAAAGGCTAAGTGGAAGAAGCCATGCAAGAGGAAAGAGAAAGAGGGAGATACTATACCAAAGGGCAGAGCATATTCACACCGTCCATCTCTGGTAAACCCGGCTCCCCTTTAAAAATGAACTGTTAATTGAAAATGGAGACATACAGAGAAAAGTTAATAGGAAAGAAATGAAAAAGAAGGAATAGAAAGAAATCTACTCAAACCTTACAGATTCAGGAATGTTTTGTGTCACTGTAGAATAGTGGTCAGAATGCTGGGCTGGGACTCGGGAGATCTGGGTTCCAACCCCACCCCTACCCCCCACTGGTGGGTACTCTCAGCCTGATCTGCTTCACAGGGCTTCATAGATAGGAGGAAGACTATATAAGCCACCTTGGGTTCTTTGCAAGAGACAAAAAGGCAGGATATATATATATATAAGAACCTGAAATAAATAAAACTAAAAGCACATTTGTTCCTCCTCCTCTCATCAACTGGCTGTTCTTTGATATATCAGAACATCATAAGTTGTACCTGTGGAATAGCCACTGCTGATGGAATGGATCTTCCACACCCTTTGTTCACCTCCCTGTGCACCTGACAAAGCTCTGGCATTGGAGGCTACAGAGGGGAGGAACGGATGTGGCAGTGCTATTCCAAGGATGCAGTGGTGAAGCTGGGTCCAACCTGCTGGCTAAAGGATTGGACAGAGAGTAGATTCCTGATGTTTTAGATGTCAACTTCAAGCATTCCTGACCATTAGCCATACTGATAAGAACTTCTGGGTACTGAAGTCCAAATCATCTGGAGAGCTACCTTCTGTGTTAAAAGTCAGGTTGCTTATACTGCCAGATTAAATCACACATCCTGTGATGTTGTTAAACACGCTTCACCTTTCTAGCAAGGACCTGGTGAACATAGTGTGGGGAAATGAACAGAGACTCACTTTTTCTCAAACAACAACAATGAAGACGAGCAAAAAAAAAAAAAATTCTCCTGTGTCTCAGATGATGAAGACTTAAAACAGCTTTCAGGATGGTCTGTGTGATGTTTCTATCCATCTGTTAAATATCAGCGAATATAAAGCAGTTCTGCCTAACTTGTGACACACCAGCACAAAAGCAGCCTGCCAGCCAAATGTTGGCATTGCCAAATGTTTTGACAACTGCTCCTCCTATTTTTGCTGACATCAGGCAAGCAAGCAGTGCCCCAAAGGATAAAGTTTAATTAGTCCTTAGTGGACCATCACTTGGGGCTGGTGGGCTGTTTTGTTTGGTGAGTCACAAGTTGCACAGGCCTGATTAACAGTAAGGCTCCCTTTCATTTGATGTCCTCTTTTTTGCTGTGTAGGTTCTGCAGTGCCACCCAGCTAGTTCAGAAGAGCCTCAGCAGAACATTATGCTAGAGCTGATGGGACACTCGACTCTCTGAAGTTCTGGCTGCATCTAGACCGTGTCTCTGTGAGCACAGACCAGACAGTGGGTTTGACAATGGGGCAAAGATGTGCAACTGCATCTGCATGGTGTCATGGCCCTGTACCAGTCATTCCACCAAACGGGGTTCAGTCTGGACCTTCACTTGGTCTGCTTCCTGCCCTCTGCATGCATTGCTGTCTCCTTGCAAAAAACTGCATTCATGTGTCGAGCCCCTTTAATCCTTCTCACTGTCAAACATGCAATCACGGTACACCAGATGCCATTGTGAATCCAAATATTTGAAATTACAACCAGTTGAGAGGGTCACTCTCATTAATGTCGGATTAGTATTGTTGAGCTAGGATTCGAGAGTAATCGAAGATGAATTTTTGTTTTTTAGCCAACTTAAAATAAATCACTAGTAGTTTTACAGGTCTATCAAAGTACCATGACAATGGTGTACTCCTACTGTCAAAATACTGCCTTGCTGTATCAACACAGAAAGGGATGCTAGGTTGCATGTGCACCATCAGTCATAAAGAATAAAAAGGCTTCAGACTTTACCAGACTTTACCATCTATTTTAGCAATATACAGTGGTACCTCGGCTCACAAACGCTTCAGTTCACGACCAAATTAGGCCGCGAACAAAAATTTCATAAAAATTTTGACTCAGGTCACCGAACTCCACATTGGGTGGCGACTGTGATCGCAGCATCTCCCCACCCCCCCGAGTGGGGAGATGGCTGCGATCATGCTGGGGGTGGTGGGGGGAGATGGCTGAGATCGCGCCCATCTTTCCTGCACAAGCGCAACCACGATCTCGAACATCTCGCCCCCCCAGCACAATCATGCCCGTCCCCCCCGGCACGTGCAGGGATGATGGGTGTGATTGCAGTCATGCTGGGGGGGCAGGGAGATGGCCGTGCTCATGCTCAGGGTGGGGAGATTGCCATGATCTTTGTTGTTCTTTGTCACTTTGCTTCCCATTTTTCTGATTAAAAAAAATAGTTACAGAACAGATTAACCTTATTTACATTGAACCTTATGGGAAAATTTAACTTGGCTCATGACCAGAGTCCAGGAATGGATTCATGAGTCAAAGTACCACTGCAGTAGTGTACTAAAATTTAACAAAGTTGTGCCTATGAAATCCTACTGTGAAGAAAGCCTTACTATCTCTGTGTCCACATTCCTTCTATGAGGCCTATAACATTGAATTGGTAACTTATTTTAGCAAGTTTCTAGCCCTGAATAAATATAAAAATGAACAATTGACAGGAACTGATGATTCCTGATTAATATCGTGTACTCTGTTCTTTTACCTGGGACATGAAAACAACCCTTCCCCCTTCAAAGTAAATTGAAACGACAACAAAGTATGTATGAAACTTTTATCAGAAAAAATGTGTTTTCTGGACTGGATCAAGACTTAGTCATTGTATATTTAATGATTTCCATGGGTTCTTCTCTGGATCAAACTTTCCCTTTTCAGACTGTGATGGGACACCTTGGAATAATATTCTAACCCCACAATATAAGATGCATGTTTTTCAAGATGATAAAAAATTAGAAATCCAAATTAAGTGAGGCAAGCATGTTTTGAAAATGCATCTGTGAAATGTTACATAGCTTGACTTATGCTTTTGAAATGTATCTGCAAAAATAATTTAAAGGCACACTCCTACGCAAGTTTAGGCAGAACTGACATAATTCTTGGCTAGGGCATGCTGGCAAGTATAGGCAGTATATATGTATGTACAGTATATCACAGAAGTGAGTACACCCCTCACATTTTGTAAATATTTTATTATATCTTTTCATGTGACAACCCTGAAGAAATGACACTTTGCTACAATGTAAAGTAGTGAGTAGACAGCTTGTATAACAGTGTAAATTTGCTGTCCCCTCAAAATAACACACAGCCATTAATGTCTAAACTGCTGGCAACAAAAGTGAGTACACCCCTAAGTGAAACTGTCCAAATTGGGCCCAAAGTGTCAATATTTTGTGTGGCCACCATTATTTTCCAGCACTGCCTTAACCCTCTTGGGCATGGAGTTCACCAGAGCTTCACAGGTTGCCACTGGAGTCCTCTTCCACTCCTCCATGACGACATCACGGAACTGGTGGATGTTAGAGACCTTGCGCTCCTCCACCTTCCGTTTCAGGATGCCCCACAGATGCTCGATAGGGTTTAGGTCTGGAGACATGCTTGGCCAGTCCATTACCTTTACCCTCGGCTTCTTTAGCAAGGCAGTGGTTGTCTTGGAGGTGTGTTTGGGGTCCTTATCATGTTGAAATACTGCCCTGCGGCCCAGTCTCCAAAGGGAGGGGATCATGCTCTGCTTCAGTATGTCACAGTACATGTTGGCATTCACGGTTCCCTCAATGAACTGTAGCTCCCCAGTGCCGGCAGCACTCATGCAGCCCCAGACCATGACACTCCCACCACCATGCTTGACTGTAGGCAAGACACACTTGTCTTTGTACACCTCACTTGGTTGTCTCCACACACGCTTGACACCATCTGAACCAAATAAGTTTATCTTGGTCTCATCAGACCACAGGACATGGTTCCACTAATCCATGTCCTTAGTCTGCTTGTCTTCGGCAAACTGTTTGCGGGCTTTCTTGTGCATCATTTTTAGAAGAGGCTTCCTTCTGGGATGACAGCCCTGCAGACCAATTTGATGCAGTGTGCGGCATATGGTCTGAGCACTGACAGGCTGACCCACCACCCCTTCAACCTCTGCAGCAATGCTGGCAGCACTCATACGTCTATTTCCCAAAGCCAGACTCTGGATATGACGCTGAGCACGTGCACTCAACTTCTTTGGTCAACCATGGCGAGGCCTGTTCTGAGTGGAACCTGTCCTGTTAAACCGCTGTATGGTCTTGGCCACCGTGCTGCAGCTCAGTTTCAGGGTCTTGGCAATCTTCTTATAGCCTAGGCCATCTTTATGTAGAGCAACAATTCTTTTTTTCAGATCCTCAGAGTTCTTTGCCATGAGGTGCTATGTTGAACTTCCAGTGACCAGTATGAGAGAGTGAGAGCGATGACACCAAATTTAACACACCTGCTCCCCATTCACACCTGAGACCTTGTAACACTAACAAGTCAAATAACACCGGGGAGGGAAAATGGCTAATAATGCCCAATTTGGACAATTTCACTTAGGGGTGTACTCACTTTTGTTGCCAGCGGTTTAGACATTGATGGCTGTGTGTTGAGTTATTTTGAGGGGACAGCAAATTTACACTGTTATACAAGCTCACTACTCACACTTACACTGTTATACAAGCTCACTACTCACAAAGTATACTCACTACTTTACATTGTAGCAAAGTGTCATTTCTTCAGGGTTGTCACATGAAAAGATATAATAAAATACTTACAAAATGTGAGGGGTGTACTCACTTCTGTGATATACTGTATGTATGTATTTCTAAACATGCATAGGATTATGGCCTAAATCCATAACTGACTGGATCAAAAAGGTGCATTAAATATGCTTCCCTGTTGTATATTTTCCAAATAGGACAAAGGTAAGCAATATTCTAGGATTATATAACACAGAACAAAGTCTTTACCAGTAACTTCACTGGAACTTTAAGTAACCAAATGGAGCTAGTCATTTGGCACTGGTCACCGACTCACAAGAAGCATCACCGGTTATGCCTACCTCAAGGAAAAAGTAGCTCATCATAATACATAAGTCACAAACTGGGCTTATCAAATTTGTGCCTCTACAGTAGAAACATAGTACAGACTACGCAAAATGTTGGCTTCTTCTTTACATCCTGCATTTCAAGTTCTAACATTGCTCACTGTCCTATGTATTGTTGCCACAAGCCCCAAGCACAGTATCTGTTGCTTGTTAGCTATAAGATATAATTCGCAAACAATATAAGATAATGGATCCATAAGCCTTACACATCTCTTACAAGAAAGAGGAGACATGGCATTGGATTAGTTTACTGTCCAGCTCCTCTAAACTTTTTGGCAGATTTATATTTGATCACCTATCAGATCCTATCACCCTTTCTACAATTATTCACTTTATTCTAAGCAAGAGGGTAGAAGAATGAACTCTCTCTGAGCCTACCATGTGTCTGGCCACTGTTTCTTGTTTTCATATGTTATCCTTTTCTGATACGAGTTCGAATTGTTACACTAAATTACCTGGTTCAGATTATTAAACAACCTACAGTTGTTTACTGAAACTATGGGCTGTCTTGGTATGTGTGGAAGTGAGTGTGCAGTCTCCTGACTGCTTTTACCTGCTTTGTTCTGCTGAACTCAGGAATGCCCTGTTTCTGGATAACACGCAAACCTGGAACTCTGGGCTATTCCAGAGTTTTAACCCAAGAAGAAATCACAGGTTGTTTGATCATCTGAATGGTGTCAGTGAGTGGTCATATTCACTTCTGTGGCTTCCCTTCTATGTTAGCTAGTTTACATGTGATGTGGCTTTCTCCTTATGTTTTCTTCTATCTTTAAACATGGATATCAAATTACTCTCTAGTGTCGCAAAAGAAAGGCTGTTAAGCATTCAAGTGTGATTCTAAGTTGAAAATAGCTTTCCTCCAGAAATTTTGTACTTTGGCTGCAGTTGTCAAAACCAGTGAAAATATGTTAAAAGGGATGCGTATTCTCTGCAGTATCAAACCATACCACTGGACAAGGCTGGTCCAATCCAGGGGGGCCTGGTTCTCCTTTTTGCCCCTTTGCTCCTTTTCTGCCCGGCAGTCCTCTTTCTCCCTGTCGACACAACAGACATATGAAACTCTTCTACCTGAAAGATCTGAGTGAGAACACTATCACTTGTTAAGCATCAAACTTCAGTCCCCACCCAGTTTCATTTTGTTAGAGTCAGCTTTTTCTACAAGATCTCTTTTCTGTGGATTTGCATCAAAGCATGGATCCTGTTGACTCCACATCTAAAGATTCTAGGCGGATGTACACAAAACTTTTTCAAGCCCTGTTCAGACATTCAAGAGAATATGTGAGGGCATTCAGACATGCTGGGTTGGGGCTCTGCACGTGTCTCTGGGCAAAAACCCTTCAGGCTTGGAAATGTAGTTACCTTCCTTGAATTCAAGTAGAATGCTCTGTGTGGTTGTGGACTAGGGATGTGCGAGGGGGTGGGAATCCATCACATTCCCCCGGCTTGGTTCCTTGGACTCCAACTCACTTTCTCACAGTCATGAATCCAACTTCCTGGTGAGAATGCGGAGCATTCACAGAGTACCTGCTAGGAAGAGAGACCTGCACAAGCAGTATCTTTCTTTTGCGCAGGTGACTTGTGGCCTTTGTGCTGTTGGCAGGAGTGCAACCGGCCTTCCACCAGTGTTTGTGGACTTCCTAGGTTGAGGGCCGAGCATGAGAAGTCCAACGAACAGAAGATGGCTGGATTCCAGGGAGAATCATCACTACCCTATTGCAGACCCTGCCTTGGCAGCCAGTGTGCATGACTGCCAATATTTGATGGCATCCAACAGGCTTTTCCACCTAAATCCAAGGGAGACATTCAAGTTCTAAATCGATGTTTGATGTCAGTAATGGATTGGACAAGAGTGAACAAACTGCTGGTTAATACAGAAAAGACAGAGGTAGTCCTGCTCAGTGAAGAGGTTATACTCCCCTTCGAGACTCAGGCTTGCCATTTGGGTCTGCCCCTGCATTCAGTCCTCTCAGCTTGGATACCCAAGTTCTGGCAGTGGCCAGGAACACATCTGCATGACTAAGACTAGTGTTCCAGGCTGTTCCTGGAGATGTCAGGCTTGGCATCGGTGACACATGCCGTAATTACATCCTGTTTGGGCTATTGCATTGGGCTTTAGATGGGGCTGCCTTTGAGATGTACTAAGAAGTACTAAGTACTAAAGGTTTCCTTATGGGGGTATGTGGCTTCCATCTTGCAACAGCTTCATTGGTCACTAGTTTGTTCCCCAGCATGAGTCTGCTTGGGAATTAAGAACCTCCAGAGGAGTTACTCTCTCTGTCCTGCAACCAGGAAGGGTACATTTTGAGGGAAGAGAAGGGAGTGCCTTCTCAGGGGCAGCTTCCAGGTTGAGGAACTCCCTGCCACTTTGGCTCCATGTTTGCTTTGTCACCAGCAGGCACATAAGTCTTTATTCAACCAAGCATGCGGCTTTTCAGCTGACTTGTTTACTGTTGCATTTTAATTAAAATTTTGTGTTTTGCCTTGTAATTTATTGTTAGCTGCCTTAAACTCTTATATGTACTAGAAAGATGAAAGCAAAATGTATGCTATAAATGCAAATGTATTCCATTGTTAGAGGGCTTACTTATACACAACAATTTCCATGTATTGAATGATGTAGGATTAGAGCTATAACTTCTCAAAAAGAGTTTCTAATAAAATGGAAGGATTTTAAGTGTAATCTCACCTAATTAATCCTGGAGTCCTGTTGCATACTTTCTTGCATGCCATTTAGGGCATTACAGTGATAATGCAGAATGTGATGGTAGACTATAGCTGAAAGTATATCCTATAAAATTAACTGTACATAAGATGCTAGAAAATCTGTTTGATATTCATGTCCATCTATAGCATAGCAGAGATTTGAATGCTGGCATGCTCAGGCTTGTTTCTTTCTCAATGGTTGACAAATATACATGGAGTAGAACAAAATGGCAGAATGCTAAGAAGGCTGAATAGACTCTACCAGATCTATAGGTGGAGAATGCCATTGTGAATGATTCCCTATTGCCTGAAACTTTGCCTGAAAAGGGATGTTATGCTACAGCTATCTCAGCCAACTTCCTGATGTGCTAGTTTTCCTCTTGCAAGGGGAGTTTGCTTTTTGCATGAAGGAGCATTAGAAAATGTGAGCCCAACCCAGCAGTACGAAGCAGCATAGCCTTTCATCATTTCAGGATTCTACCACTTCTTTCCGTTGCATGTGTGGAGCAGTTCAAGTATCCCACGGCCTAGTGCAAGCAATGGAAAGGAGGATGCCCCACTTAACTCTCAGTGGGGCACAACTTTCCTCAGTCAGAGGAGGAAGAGCAACAGCAGGAACAATTAGGCAAATGAGTGATTGCATGAAGGCCAAACTGACATATTTAGAGGAGGGCTGTGAACTCTTTTGAGGTACTGTGTATATTCAAGCTGAGATACTAAAATTCTCAATCGTGCCACTTCAGGTTATAGGTGTGGGAGAGCCCTGTTTTTAAAAGGTTTCCATGTGTAACAAACTGGAAACCAACATTAAAAACCCTCTCCAGATAATATATAATAATAGTGCAACAAGAAGTGGTTTATGCAAAATCTTTCCCCCTGATGTGTTCATTTGCTACAGAGAGTATTTAAAAAGTGGAACAACATTCTGCACTTCTACTTTCCATCTATATAACATGTTGAGTAGCTCCTAATGTGCAGTTAGACGAAAAGCGCCTGTGACTTTCAGCACGCCCCAGCCGGCATGCTTCATGCTGACTGGGGCATAGTGGGAGTTGCAGGCATTTTTCCCGTCCAGCCTTTTACTGGATGTTGGGCAGCCTCAGTACTCCTATGCCCACAATGTAACATGCGAAATGTGCCATAGGCATGCATGTATTTCACAATTCTTCATCTTAAACGAACCCAAGACTGACTGACTGTCTGTTTGCACAAACTTCAGGCCTTTGGCTATCTAAAGAAATAAAATAATATTTGCACATAAACCTCAGATCACTATACATTACACTATATGTATAGTGAAAGGTGCATAAGCATTCATGCATTCTCACTACACAAATTGAGGGCATAATGTATAACTGTGTGTAACTGGGCATACATTTGCAGTGAAACATTTTCTACCTACAAAGCAGCCTAAGAATAAAAATGCAAAGACAGGTTGTATATAGTACTGTCTAGGTCTCACTACTTTGCAGGTCAGGAATTGCCATGTTGAATAATCTACCAAAATATTTCCCTGCATGTAGAAAAACAGCATTGAAAACTTAATGGAAATGACTAATTGAAATATTTCTGAGACGCTAGCTTTTTCTGAGCATAGAGTTATACAATGGATGGGGTGAACAGATTATCATTTCAAATCTTCAATTTTTCCACCTACCAAGTCTGAAGTTGTACTACATGCTATTTTGCACATTCAAATTTGCTTCAAACGAACAAGGCTACGCTACATTGGACCTTGATTCTCACAGACTGGAGACAAAGAATAAAGTGCTTATACAGAAATGCTGTCAACAAATTTTCAGCTGTATTAGAATATAAGATGATACTGATGGTATCTAGTACCATTCAGATTAGAAAAACTGTTTCCTTTATGGGAGGCTGTCAAGGTGAATAGGCAGTGTTTTAAACAGGCAGCTGAATTAAAGGCAAGGATTTACTTCAGTGAATTAGAAGTGGTACTTACTTTTTCTCCTCTTTCACTTTTTTCTCCTTTTTCTCCTCTTAGGCCTGGGAAACCCTATACAAGTAACATTGAAAAAGTTTCAGTTTAGTGCTAAATAGTTCTGGTAAGAAAGAAAGAAAAAATACATGTTTTTTCTTTAAGTAACCATTGTTGACTGAGATAATAAAACAGTCTCAGGAAAAATCTTGTGCATTTCATATAATTTAGATCGCAGTGTGGCTAAATCTTAGTGTTTAGTATAAATCTTAGAAAATGTATGAAATTTGTTAAAACACCACTAGGTGGCATGCATTTGAAATTCATGGAAACTGAAAGTGCTCAGAACAAGTAACTCCACTTTTAGGACCTTCTGATATGCACCATCTTAATATGTCTGATAGCCCCACTTTAAAAATATCTGCTAATTTATGTTTCACTTTTTATTCAAATCAATAACAATGAAGCCCAGTGAATGAATATGCTTGATTTGGTTCTGGGAAACAGCCTGAGCAGCCTCAGTTTCTCATCTGCAAAACAGAATTGATAGTGACTGATGTGATAGAATTGCTATTAGGGTCAATATAACAGAGGGGTAAAAATAACCCAAACCTGTTAAGGGACATAGTAAACGCACTGAGATTCATTTATGCAGTGTAAGCATTTTAATAACACCCTTCAATCATATTCCCAGGGTAGCTCATGAAAAGAGCACAACTAAATAAATAAAAAAGTAAGTGAAAAGACATAAAATTATGAAAGCAGAAAGAAACTGCCCACAGAATCAAAACTGCTTCTGAACATCTTGGGGCTTTGCCTGGCATCAAAATAAACCCATAAGTGCCTAGTGAACATCTCAGGTAAGTGTTCTACAGCTTGAATGCCACAACCAGAAGAACCTCTCTCTAGCACCACTTGCCTCTTTGATGTAGCCAGACTGCAGCACTGCAGTGCTCACTGGGTTTGGAACCAACTTCTTAGCATTAGGGCATTTCCCCTAAATGCTGGTATTCTAACTAAGAATAGTTAGCAAACATTTTAAGAATGCAAGGAACCATAGTACTTTATAGAACAAATCAGACTGCTACCCTCAGTAGTAGTACCATCTACTCTGGCTGCAAGAGACCTTCTGGGGTTGTAGGTAGAGGTCTTTTCTGGCCCTCCTCCTTGAGATCCTTGAACTGGAAACACCAATGAGCAAACTTTGGACCAAAGTGTATGACGTATTTCCCAGCAATGATCCTTGGGACAGTCATTTCAAAGTACAAGCCGCCCCTTTGAATTCATTCCTGCATGGTATGTTCACATACTGATGATACAATATAGGTAGTACACCTATTACTTACATCTAATCCTGGTTCACCTGGCTTTCCCTGTATTTATTGAAAAGCAAGAAATAAAGAAAAACGAAGAAATGTGAGTGGACAACTATGTTAAGGGGTTACTTTCATGTAAATTGGCAACAAAATGGCTACGTATACTGGATATGAATCAAAATGAGTTTTAGTTCCTTGAATTCAATTGGTGATCAAGCACAGAGCTCTCTCCCATTAAAATGGGCTGGGTTGTGACCACTGTGCAGTACATTTGGACAACATTGACTTTTTTTTAGTAGATCCCATGACTCACTAGTTATTTTATTGTGATACAAGCAGTAACATGTTTACTTGTTAGCGTTGTCTAGAGATGAATTACTTATTACAAATAAATTCTCCTTACTGATGTATTTAGATATATATATACAGCTCCATTCCCATAGGCTCTGGTAGGTTACAAGGAACTAAAACCAACAATAATTAAAATTTTTACAACAAACAAGCTTATTGAATAAAACTAATCTGAGAACTAATCTGGGAAGGGCTGTTGGAAGAGATGCATCTTTAACTCCCTCTTGCAGGTAGCAATCTGGGATATCTGACACATCTCTCCTGGCAGACTTTTCCACAGTTTAGGAGCAACCACTGAGAAAGTCCTCTAGGTAGCTGACATTAACCTCAGAAAAGCAAACTTCAGAAAATTATCCCCAGAGGACCTTAACAGGCACGACAGAATGTATGGGCAAAGGCACTCCTTGAAGGTATATTGAACCCAAGCTATGAAGAGCTTTAAAGGCAACTACCAGCACCTTGTACTGCATCTGGAAATATATTGGCAGCCAGTGCAGAGACTTTAATATCAGTGATACGCGGTCTTTCCGTGATGCCCCAGGTTTGTATTACTTGACAAGCTGCTGGTGGGTCCTGAATAGTAAAAAAAATGGCTGCCTACTCGTACATGTGCCTCAGCCCATCACAGCTTGAAGAGAGAGGAGCCACTGTGGTATAGTGGTTAGAGTTTTGGGCAGCAACCTGCTTCTAGTCCCCATTTGGCCATAAAGCTTATTGGGTGACTTTTGATGAGTAATTTAACAGTTAACCTCACAGGGTATGGTAAGATCAAATGGAGGAGGAATAATAAAAGTCACCTAGGCTCCGCAGTGGCACAAAAGCCCATATGTGTGATGCACAGAGACCATGAAGAAGAAAAGTAGGCTATAAGTATTTTTTTAAAATAAATCTCCTTTTTACCTTTTCTCCTTTAGTGCCTGGTAAGCCAATAAGTCCAGGGGTACCAGCAGGACCCTAGGGAGAAAAACAAATGATAGGAAAGATTTTGCATGTTTCAGTTAAAGCATCTCCTCTAGGGAGACAGGGCTTCAGCTTTGCTACTACTCACCTGAGGTCCAGGGGCACCTTTTTCACCTTTATGACCACTTTCACCTTTTGCACCCTTTGCACCATCTGAGCCCTACATAAAAAGAAAAATATTTATTAGGCTTTCAACCAGTTAAATAAAGTTTGATCTCCTACTTTATATCTGATCCTTAAATCAATTAAAGTTAAAGTTGCATTAAATTTAAGTAAAATTCCTATTACAACAATGCACCAGAACAAAAACAGTGTTAAAAATAAGCACATATTCCCTTTAACTCACAATCTAACCATTCAAAAAAATTCCTAATTGATTATTGAACCAAATATTTCCCCATGTAAGAGATCATGTAAGCATTTTGTTCACACAGCTCAATCACTGAATGATTCAGTTATCTTTCAGTTAGGTGGAGGTGAATCCTCAAAGAATAAAACCTTAGCAAGCTTTCTTAATCTCTTAATATCATTCCACTTCATTTCCTGTGGAAGAAGGCAAACTGATAACCAGGACAGAGGTGGGCAGCAGGTAGAATGGGATCTATAGTAGCTCTGTGGATGAGTTGCAGCAGATTGGCAAGGGGCTTTGGCATTGAACTATTTAATCTTAGCAACAACAACATGACCTTTAATCATAAGTTAGGGTGCTGAAATGAATCTCGGGGGGGGGGGGATCAGGATTGTGTTTTTGCCTAAAAAGACTGCAAGCTTATACTGCAAATAAATTCTTGATCTGATTCTTGATTCCATGTGGAATTCTGTTCCTTAACTATGTTCAATGAATCTCTGCCCTAGGACTATTTTGTACCTGAGTGCACTTGGTGGACTCTGAGGTTCCAATAAAATGAAGTCACTTCCAGAGTGTGAGGTCTGCCCACTAGGGTTTATTTCCTACAGTACACATAGGACTGCAACGTTTCTTATGGGAGAAAGAAGCTGCAGAAATTCTGGATTATGTAACTTTACTTGCATACTTTTCTATAGTGACTAAGTCTCCCTTGCCCATTGCATGACTCTACAATTCCAGTACAGACTGTGCTTGTGAAAAAGAGACCAGTTTTTCTTTCCTCCTGAAGGATATAGAAAAGAAAAAAGACTATTGATTTCTCTCTTGTGGGCTACGTTTCCATGGGGTGGGGGGAGAGAAACCACCCCTTGCTTCCTGTCCCAAGTTCTTTGTGGAGGGAAAAAGAGATATACTTTCCCTTTCTGCTGGTCTTTGGAGAAGGTGGAAGCAGCAAGATCCTGCCCCACCTTCCTCAAAAACCAAGCATGGCGGGTGGTAAACACCCTTCCTTTTCTCCACAGGAAACCCATAGAATGAAAAGAGGGATGCTTTCTCCTCCTGTACAGCAGGCAACAGAAGCAAGGTTTCCACATCTGGCTTCTGCAAAGACAACTGCGCCCTTCCTGAAATTTGCTCTATCTGTCAGAGAATGTGACTATTAATAACGGCTACAATCTAAGATAACACATTAGGTCCCTGTTGAACAGGACCAGAGGAGAGGACAGGATGAAGGTCAAGGAAAGGAGAAGTAATTCCTTGGACACAACTGAAGTATATTGCCACTGAACAAGACTACACAGTACCAGTCTTGGTACCTGATAAAAGAGATACAACAAAGAATGGGACACAAAAGGAAAAATGAGATGTTGTAATGTGTGTACCAATCTGTGTTACAGCTATGTATTATTCGAGGGAAATTTGAAATGGCATGTAAGAGTTATGAATACTATTGTTTCATTTCTGCATTCCTGCACAGTGGCTGAAACCTGCACATTCTGATTCAGAAAGGAATTTCATTAAGGCTAGATGGCCTGGAAATAGTTGGGATTCTTCTAATATGGATCTCATCTGTAAAACTACTGCAAAACATCAGCTCACAAAAGAGCAAACTGTTGTATGACTCCACCCTAATAAAAGCTCAGTGCTGTATCTCCATCTGAAGAAAACATTTTGCATTAATTGGACCGATTTTTCATAGTTGCTGGGAAGTCAACATCCTAAACTTAGTAACATCGATGCAAAATGGTTAGTTGCTGCAAATAATCATAAATTATATTAGCAATTTTATTACCTTACCTTATGCCCTTGATTTCCTTGAGGACCCTGCAAGGTATCAATACATTGAAAACATGGTTTGAGGGAGATCAATATATAAGTACAATCTTCAACCTCTGCTCTTTAGAGATGTGTCCTTCTACTCACAGAAGGCTCTTTGGTTCAGCACAGGCTTTCATGAATGAAAAGCGGGGGAAACAAATTTTGCTGATTCTCATAGCCTCCTGGGCCCTGCAAATCTGATTCACATATTTAGGCAACCCTTTGGAATAACACAGAAGATGAAGAGGGGCACTGTAAGAGGAAGGAAGGAATTGAATATCACCTCTGTCCCTCTTCCATTCACGGCAGTGTCCACTACAGCAAAGAATAGAGGAGTACAAGTGGGTGCAATGCTTGTACTATTATACTGATATTTCAAACATTTCCTTCCATTACAGAGAAAAGCAGAAGCCTAAATAAATAGATGCTCCTGGGTACAACTGCTGCCACTTATGCAAGTAGTTCCGCATAAAAGAGAGATGGAAGCTAGAGAATAGTTTCTCAGAGTAGCCAAACTGAGTGCTATTCTTTTTACAGTTTTATAGCTAAGTATCTCACAGGCTTGCCAACAACCTAAACAAACATAGTAAGGCATGAAGCTATAATCTGAAGATGCCCTTGTGCTCAGCTTAGTTGAAGTGAATGGTACAAATGTTGAAGCTGAAACATCTTTCCTCATTTAAAACCTTTATAAACCCATGTGAACTTTTATAAACCCTTTCCATCTCAACTGCATTTCCCCCTTTGGAAATCTACATTACATTTTGGTAAGAAAGTGGGCTATAAATGTGGCAAGATTGCAGGCAGAAAGAAAAGGGAATGTGAATTTTTAGGGGCCAAACTAGACATGCTGGAGCAGCGACATTTGTTCATCTCTAAAATGTGGAAGGGCAAGGGATCTAAAAAAATGTGTATGTGAGAGGAGCTGAACAACTTTACTCCTTATATTGCTGCACTCTGTCACCTGAATCAGTTGCAGGTAAGGAGGGGAGGGGATCATTCAGCTTCTCTCGCTCATGTCTGTCATTTGACATCAAAACTGACTATCTTGCACCATTCCCTGCTCTAGATGGGAATTAGGCGGACACATGAAGCACAAACATGAATGATCCCATCATGTCTAGTCTGACACAAGAGTTTAGCACTACAAACTGGGTACTGATGCAAACACTGTGTCCATAAAAAGCTACTCCAAAGGAGAGTTTATGGCAAACAATGAGAAGGGATTATGACTGATGTGGCAAAGTCATACTCCTGGAAAGGCTAGGGTTGAGTGAAGAGAAAATCACTTCAGCAAATTCCTAGCTTTACTCCTAGTTTAATTAATTTGATAATATATAGATAACCTTCCCATCCAAGCAACTGCAGTAGCATTTTGTACAACACACAAAAAACATTTCATCATGAAAAGTTATTTTAAATGACTCCTAATTACAACAGATATGATATCCAATATTACCATATTTCCCCAAAAATAAGACCATGTTATATATTAATTTTTGCTCCAAAAGATGCATCAGGCAATGTCTTATTTTTTCATGTATAACAATCTACATTTCTTCATTTATTCATGTACAAAAATCTACATTTATTCAAATACAGTCATGTCAGCTTTTGGAACATCATCATTACTCTCCAAATTGTGTTGCAACGGACATACTAAATGTGTCCATCTGGCTGACGATCTTAACTGGGACTTATTTTTTGGGGTAGGGTTTATATTACAAGCATCCTGAAAAATCATGCTTGGGCTTATTTTCCAGTTAGGTCTTATTTTCGGGGAAACAGGGTATTAATTGGCTCATGGAGATGTTAAGAGATATTCACCTTGGGTTGGATCCAGATATAGACATGCACAGCTGAGTTGGCAGAAGCAGCCTTCCTCTCCCCTCCTCCTCACAGCAACCCATCCAGCTCCCTAAAGATGCTACACTGCTGAAGGTTGGGGGACCCAGGGACATTGTGATGCTGGGGGCAAGGGGAACCCAAAATAATCAGGTGGCAGCACCTTCTGAAGGATGAGTCCTTCTGCCCACAGGAGGCAGAATCTGGATCTAATCCTTAACATCACGACACTAAGAGAGATAAGGATAGGTTTACATCCCCCATAGAGTCTATGGGTCAAGTGGGCCTCCTTTGAAACAGTATAAATAAATACAATTACTACACCTTTTCATCAACATGCATTTTAATACACACGTTACAATGCAGTAATGGCATGCACACATTACAAAAGCTGAGCAGGGCTGCCCAGGACAGGGCATTTGGCAGGGCATCCATTCATAGGGTCGTCGTAAGTCAGAGACAACCTGGCAGCACGTAACAACATACACATTAGGGACTCACCTTATGTCCCTGTATCCCTTGAGGACCCTAAAGGTAGCAATTTTTTATTTGTAAAATGGGGTTTCAAGTGTTCTAATACATAATCCAAGAACTTTATGACTCTCAGGTGCAAATTTTCATGCTCCAACTGTTTCAGAAAGCTGAAGTGGCATATGCAACTATCAAGTTTCAAAAAAAAATCCTCAAGATAGAATATATATTTCTTGAGTCCTCTAACTTTAAAGCTTATAAAAGAATGAACAAAATGAACGAAATGAAAATACAGCTTCTGATTGATCAAATAATATATAGTGAAGTTGGTAAAGCTTCTAAAATTGTGGAAGATGGTGAATCTGGCTCTCACCTGTCCTTGCCAGAAACACATTAATATCTTTACTGTGGCCATGGTACTATGCTAGGGGTCTCAAACTCCCGGCCCGCGGGCCAATTGCCAGGCCAGGCGGGGCACAGGGGAGGGGCCCTGTGGCCTTCAAAGCGCCGGCGGCACCTGGGCCGGCCTCCGGGAGCGACGCGGGGTGAGCGGCCCACCACCACCGCAGTGGTGGAATACTTGATGCGGCCCAGCCTCACCCAGACTCTACTTCCAGCGGCCCCCAGGTAAGTTGAGTTTGAGACCCCTGGACTATACTGTTCTGTTCTATTACTGCAAGCAAGCCCATACTGTTTCATTGCCCAAAACTACATTTTGAGTACAATTCCCCCCAGGAATGATGGGAGTTGTACAGACAAACCTTTGGAGGGCCACAAGTTGCTGAGCCCTGTCATATTCAAGCAATTAACAATTCCTCATCTTAACACTGGTTATCTTTGTGAAACCTTGAACTTTGTCCACTTTGTATCTTTTCCCCAATGTAAGTGCTGAAATAATTATAAACTAATTAATTTAATTTCCTCAAGCTGGCATTTTGGCATACATGTGCTATCTGAAGCTAGATTCAGGATCTGGTTTAGCATCTAAATATATCAATGGAAATTCCTGACTTTTGGAGTCTGTCCAGAATATATTCAATAGTTGATCTTTCTGTCAAGCAGCTAGTCAAGCAGAAAAACTCTTGCTGAGCATATTGCAAGTTTACTGGAGTGCTTGTAGCTGAGCAGCTCTGGACATACCATTTTCCCATTGTGAATAGGTATTATAAGCCTTTAGTACAGTGTGTTCAAAACAGTTTTCCTCATTCAAGAGTTGCTTTCACAGCCACAGTAAAAAGCATGTATGTTGTTTTGGCTCCCAACTGTTTAGTCCAGGGCTGAACAGAAGTAGATATCCAGATAATTTGGATTTCAGTTCCCAGTATTCCAGGTGGCCACGTTGGCAAGGGCATTCTGGGAACTGAAATCTGAAACATTTGGCAACCTATCTTCTATTAAGTCTTGCCTTTAGGGTAAACTTGATAAAATTCTCTCATTTATTTAACTAGTGATGTGTTCTTATTGTATCAACTCTGTGACTTCTTAAGGATTTTAATTGAGCAATGATAACCAAAGGTTAATGGGTTGAATTCAGAGATGGACAAAACCATGTGCTCATTAGCTCAACAATTATCACTTGCTTGTTGGAATGTGAAAATAGCCCAGCTTGTTTGGGCAATGAAAACTGTTCTTGTATTACTTACCATGGGGCCTGGGGGACCTGGCAATCCAGGCGGTCCTGGTTCAGGTATGATCTGCACCTATGGATTACATAATGAAGTGACTTAGATTATATAGACTGCATTGTAAGGTAATGAAAGATAACATCTTTAAAATGAAAATGCTGTTAAGGAAAATAAGAACATGGCAATTTATAGGATAATTTTAAGGGTCCTTTTAAAATGTTAAAATAGCATGTTTTAAAATATGCATAACTTGCGCTGTGGTTTAAAACAGATTGTTAACCACAATGCAGGCAGAGAGTCCCTGGTCTGAAGAATAACCAGTGAACTCTGGGTACAGCTGTATTTACATGAAATAATTTTTCATAGGCTTCATAATGTCTTAGGTGACATGGCAGGCAAGTCAGGGCAACAAAAATCAGTGTGCATCCTACAATGGTTTGCCCCCATTTCCCTCTATCTATACACTTAAACTACTGAGAAGGAAAAGCTGAATAAGAATAGGAATGCATAGACCTCACATTCTTCATAATAGCTTGTTAACTGCATGCAATGCACAGAGGTGTGTGAATGAGAGGAGTAAAGAAGGTTTACCAAGTTTATGGAGATCCTCTACACATGGGTGCCACGTGTGTGCTGGACTGGATTGAGGCCAATATGCCCAATGACTATGGCCACATTAGAGCCAGATCTGATAAAAACTGATGGCATCATTTGCACTTTAGTGTCATCATTTGTTAAAATGCTTTGTCTGGCTTTTTTTTTAAATAAAAGACTTAGGAAAGACTAAAAAAAAAATCCTACTCTCCTAATCAGTGAAAGAAAGCTTGAAAACCATCCCTATGACAAATCATGAATCAGTGCACAAAAAGCATCCTGGAGAAGCAGTAATTTTCAAGAGACTCTGGTGAATTTCACTGCATGTTGGGACTTTGGCCATGGCAAGTTTGTTTGTTTGTTTGTTTGTTTTTTCAATTTGAGATTTAAAACAGTCTGTCACCGAAAGGACATTGGCATAACATCATGACCTGTGATTCTGCCCTGTGGTGATAGTTCTGCCCTAAACCCATTTTGGGGCAGCAAATTGTAGGTTATGACTAAGTACAATAAAGCAAATGAGTATCTAATTTCTATAAAAGAGATAAAATTAGCTATCTATTCTCTTGCTAAAGAAGAAACATCTTGTGTTACTTAAATTTGCAGGAAAGAACATTTTTCAAGTACAAGAATGTTTAACTATTGCTTGAGGCAAAGGTTTTATAGAAATACAACAGAGAATGTACTTCCATGAATAAATTCCCCATCAGGCATCAGTTTGATGTCAACCTCCCTTTCTTGGCTGTTTTTGCTGCTGCCCCCTTTTGACCTTTTCATGTTTTAGGACTGTTTCAGATGTGATGGTTTTTCTACAGGGAAGGCACTTAGATGGAGGAATACACAAAAAACAGGAACTCCACCTCTCATCTTATATAGTTTGTTTCGCATGCACATACTGGAGAAGTCAGATGAGTTTGGATATGTAGAATGTACATGCACCAGGAAACAGTGGACATGAATGATCACAACGTCCTAGAACACTACCTAAGGCTTTCCTACATTTTAGAGTGGAGAGATTTTCTTATCTGTAGAAAAATCATTACATACAAAGCAGCCCTTAAGTTGTGATTATAAGCAAGCATCCTTAATGCATTGCATTTTGGTTTGGGATGTGAATAAGCTTTGAAAAGCAAAGGCTCCATGAAGTTTGCAGTATCACAAAATGTATTAATTCCACTGCAAAATTCAGCAACCTGTAGTATGGATGTCTTTAGTGAAAGCAAGAGTCCTGGTTTGTATAAAATTGACTGTGTATTGTCACTCTTTGAACAAACTGACCATTTTAGTAGTAATTTGATACATATGTACTTAGTTGTTCCCAACTTACAAGATCCTGCTTGCAGGGTGTACCAGGTTCTCCTTTTGGTCCATCAATCCCCTAAATATTAAAAAGAAAGAAGAGTCTGCGACCTGCAGGATGTATACCCACATAAAGGAAATTACACCCCCCTTAATTCCAATGCTTTATTTAAGCCAACTCTGCTGCCATAAGTTTCAGTGGGAAATTTCCTTGAAAGACTGAGCTCCTCTTGGCTCTTAATGCGCCAGCAGCAGAGAAATGGAAGGCAAATGGCACAGCTGGATTCCAGCTGAGCCATGCTGGGAAATATGGTGGTGCAATAACTTGCAGCAGTCTTAATGGCGGCATATGATGTGCCTGTTATTGTACACCTTCTCACAGCAAACCTTGTTTGAATATATTTCTGTCTCCTTAAGTGTGACTTCTCCACAGCACATTCTGATGGGGGGGGGGTGTCAGTTGGGGGGTATTTCCTTTGAAAATCACAGGAGAGGGGGGCAGTCCTTCAATCATTGCCCTCACTCACAGGAAGTCTCCATACAATTAATTTTTAAATTTTGCCTTCATTATCCAGAGACCATAGCTGTGTGGAAGCTCCCTACAGGAAAGCACTGCCCATCTTCCTCACAATATGGATAAATAAGATGAAAACATCATACAATCACAGAACAGTAGGACTCCACCACCCTTCTCCAGCTGCCTCTTGAATGCCTCCAGTGTGGGAGAAACCTCAACCTCCCTAGGTAGTTGGTTCCATTGTCATACTGCTCTAACACTCAGGAAAACTGGAATCTAGCTTGGTAACTGGAGACTGTTATCTCATGTCCTGCAATCTGAGATGATTGAGATCTTGGCCTTCCTCTGTGTGACAGCCTTTCAAGTACTTGAAGAGTGCTATCATAGCTCACCTCAGTCTTCTCTCAAGGCTAAACACACCCAGTTCTTTCAATTGCTCCTCATAAGACTTTGTTTCATATTTCTACAAATCTATTTTATTATTCTATTTGTACTCCACTTCTTCCTTCTTGTAAAAAATACAAGGTGGGTTACATAGTCCTCCTCCTCTTTACTTTAACCTCACAACAACTTTGTGAGGTCAGTTAGGCTAAGAGTCAGTGGCTGTCCCAAAGTCATCCAGCTTCCTGGTCAAGTCTAATGAAATAGTTCCCTCTTTTAACAGTAACATCACATGGTACGATGTTCACAAATGAGATGAGGGGTTTCTAAGGAAGCTCAAACAGCTGCCATGAATGCCCTGAACTGCCTTCCTGCATTAGTCTTGTTGGACCAGAAGAATGCCAGGCTATGGTCACTCTGTTTTTGTATGCTTTGTACTGATATGTCAGTGCTGTGGGATAATGTGATGTACCACTGCTTCCTATGTATGTTCTTTCATAGGTTTCTCTTCTGTGCATTTTAATCATATCAAGGGTACATGTGGGTACAAGGGAGGTTTTATTCCTCCCTCTTGATTTATTTCCTCCATGTCCATGGTCATTATTTTGGTCTTACTGGAAAGCAGGGGTAGGTGACCCAGTACCCTCCACACTGAAAGGCATTTTGGTTGCTTATCCTTGCTCTTGTAATCACCTCTTAGAGTGGCTCTTTTGGCCCAGGCTTGAAAACTTCCAAGATATAAACCTGTGAGGATCCATGTTTTCTAGCATGAAATAATGAGTGGCAACAAACCATCTAATCACAAAACCATATTGAAGACAGACATACCGGTGGACCAGACAAGCCCATTTCTCCTATTTCGCCTTTCTGCCCCATGATTCCAGGGCTTCCTTGATCTCCTTTCGATCCTTTAGGACCCTACAGTTTAATAAACAAAAAGGGAGAAGCATTGTTAAATACCAGGATTCATTTATATCACAACAAGATGATCCAGAAGCAAAAACGCACACATACCCATTCTCCTCATGCCACTCTAGAAACTACCCTCCATAGGCTGCTCAAATTCCTCACTGAGGGGTTCACGGAATTGCATTTGCAAAGGGCAAATCAAAGCATAATCTGGTGAAAGTTTCTTTTAAAAAGGTTTCTGGAAACTGAAATTAATGTTTGGCTTATGTAACCTAATACAAAACGTTCCCAGCATGCAAAATATTCTGGTTGGGGCACTGGCAAGCTCTTTCATAAAATGAATTCCTAATTCATATCATCACAGAGGAATGGGCAAGAATTTAGCTAACTGGTACACTGAGATGCAGCTGCTCAGCCAAGAAGCTGCATCTATCAGCCCTGCATTGCCCTTATCAGCATCTCCCTTGTGGCAAGGATACTATTTTAGGACACTTTCTAAGGTCATGGACATAGAAATGTGTTAATTTAAAGCAGATTTGCAACAAAAGAATTACTACTGTTATTACTATGCCAAAAAAGTTACAAATACTTGAAACACAAGAGAAAAACTTTTTTCCCCTAGAGGTTAGCTGAGTTACTGTGACACACAAAAATCTGGAGTGCCTCAAAGAGAGTAGGAAAAAGAACACAGGCTAAAAAGAAAACTCTGCAGATGAGCAGACGTGTGGAACAGCAGCAGCTGATGCCACAGCGACAGGTGGCAAAGGGCAAGGAAGCTGCAGCAGGACAGGCCGTTCCAGGCTCCAGCCTATCAGCTCCTCATCAGGGCCCACCATCCTCTTTACAGTGCATGACTCTCTTAGACAGCTTCAGCAGGACAGCTATATTTAGGAAGCCAGGAACTTCTTTGATACTTTGTTTGCCAAGCAGCTTTAGGATTACTTTTTAGGAATTTCCCTGCTCCTCAGGTTATCAGAAGGTGCTAGGGCAGTATCTGCCAAGGTTTGCCAACTTCTCTCTCTCTCCCGCACACAGACTTTCTGCTTTTGGTATGCTTCACCCAACATATATATGCTGAAAACAGTACTTAAAGATATTAACAGACATACTGGTAGACCAGTCATGCCAACTTCTCCAATTTCTCCCTTTTGTCCTACTAGACCAGTGCTTCCTTGGTCTCCTTTTGATCCTTTAGGACCCTGCATTCAAAGAAAAAAGAGTTAAGCTTATAGGTTTTTATACAATTCATTTGTTTCAGCATGGTGCTTTATAATTTATTCAACTTTTGTCTTGAGCTAGGCGTCTTCTCCAAATGAGAAAAGCACTTCAGCAATTATTAAAAGAGTCTATTCCACACAGAAACAACGTATTCACAAGCCTCAAAACACGCACTGCAGGTGGAAAGTTTACCTTTCACCCTGCCCCTATTTACCCAAAGCTTTGTTTATGAACCCTTTGGGGCTGGTCTCTGGAAGGGGGTGCACCATGAAAGTGGGCATGCCAACGCTCTTCCCATTGAGCCCCTATTTGGTCCAGCCAGTGAGTACGTCGATGGGCCCTTGTGTCCACATCTCCAGGAGTGTCAAGTTCTCCTCCTGAGAACCCCTCCCCACCCTGTCCTCCGCTGTCTTCTTTCCCACAATCAGGAGGGGGCGGGGGCTCAGTGGTTGTCCTTGAAGTGCTTTCACTGGGCCGGCTCACTGGGAAAGTTTGGGCAATCAGGCCTCGCTAGTCTCAACAACTCCCATATCAGAGTGAGAACTCTGAGCCACGGCTGGTTCAGCTCTCCACTCCCCCTCCCCTGAGTCTGAGCCACCATTCCCACCAGAGCCCTCCATCTCTTATGCACGCCTGGGAATCTCATCCGAGCATGTGTGCACGACAGCTTTGCTTATATAAGGAAGAGGAACTGCTTTTGATAGAGTGCCAATTATGAAGCGGAGCGGAATTCAGTAGACCAGGAGAATGCAGCAATGTGATTTTTCAGGGCACGAGAACATTGAAGAAACATTTGGACATGCATACACCCATACCACACACAACAGTGCTTAATAATTATTCTGTTTTGACAACAATAATTGGATGCTCTGTATTTGTAGGGATGTTTAATAAAAACTCACAGGGGTGACTGATCATGAAATGTCATATTGTTCTTGTATTCTCACTTTGCCCAGACAGATGATGTGGGAAAAGTAACTTGCAATGCATCAGCTGCTGCCAGAGAATATGGTCTGCACTTCCCTGTTGCACTCTTGGTTAGGATGGTTTTTTTTTTTTTTTTTTTGCTAAGATCTGTCAAGAGCTTGTAAGCATTAGTTGAACCTTCCAAACTGCTTGCAGAACTTCACAATCAATGCACACAAATTGGGGGAGAAGCCAGAAAGGTGGGGATACTGCAGGCAGACCCTTGTCCCCACACTTTTGAGCATGTCCTCTTGCTTGTATATACTTGTGCAAGCCTCTTTCTGCACTTGCTCCAAGGCTCCTCTGCTAGAGCAGTTTTCTATTAGCCGAGAGGAAAGAACATCCAGAGCTTGCCACTGTCTTGGTGACATTTTGTCATAGTCATCTAAATGAGAGGGCCACACAGGAAAGTTTTGTTACCACCTGTCTTTTTAGCATTTCCTATACTGAACTTCTGCACTCAGCAACTTTAAAAAATTTTTTGGAGGTCTGGCAAGGTGAACTGTTGAAAACAAAACCTACCAAGAGACAGATAGTTTTGTGGACGCCAGGAGGAAATACTTGTCATTCAGAATATTTTGTTTTATCTGCAAATTTCTAATTTTGCCCCAGTCATCTTAGAAAGCAGTTTATGATCCCTAAAGAACTGCTAGAGGGACCATAGGATTTTTTGGATTCCAAGATCCAAGGCTGGAAAAGAGCTCTGACCTCAGTTCTGGGGATCCACATTTAGATCTCCCTCAGTCCCTTGCAGCTGGCATGGAAGGAACGGCACTAATGCTACTCTGAGGAGACAAGAGTGACCCCAGAGAGGGGCTCTAGGGGCAGGGAAGGGAGTGATTTAATAATCACTAAATTCATTAATGTGCAAGCATCGGTATATTTCTTCAGATATACATCTCATAAGCTTCAATGAAGCATACTCAAGGGTCCCTGCCTATTATAAAATTAATATATTAACCTATTAATAGCCCCCCACACACCTTCTCACCATCAACTCCAGGTGGACCAGGCAATCCAAGCTCCCCCTTAAGTAGAATAAAAAAGGAATACATTGAAATAAAGATTAAATACAAGAGCTAACCAACAAAAATAAAATCCACAAAAACTGTAGTATTTAATACTGCATTCAGCACTACAATAATCATCAATTGAGTTGATGAGTTGTTGAGATGCCTCAACAGCCTTGGATATTTTATGTGAAGTGCCAGATTTAGACTGCCATCCTATTTACTTAGCTTAAAGTAAGTCCCCCTGGATACAGTGGGACATACTTCAGTGTAGACACACACAGGACTGTGCTGTAAGTTAGGACCAGATTGTATCACAGGAAGAATACATACTATTTGTTCAAGGATAGGCTAGAGATGCACATGGTAGGCATGTCGTGAGTGGAGCTGGCTGGAGCCTGGGAGGCCCCTTCTGACTTGCTCCATTTCTATGTTTCTATTCTTAACTAATCCACCCAGGGATCCTTGTGGTCTGCCCCCGGAGCCAGATGGATCCGGACGGATTCCTGAAGGCCCTGGGGGAGTTTCCAGTTGACAAGGCTGGTGCTCCTGTCGATGCTCTGGTCGAACTATGGAATGGGGAAATGACCAGGGCTATTGACACGATCGCTCCCAAGCATCCTCTCCCGCCTGGCAGAGCCCACTCTTCCCCTTGGTACACACCTGAACTGTGGGCAATGAAGCGGGCTGGGAGACGTCTACAGAGTAGACCGAATCTGACCGAACACACTTAAGAGCCCATTATCAGACCTATGCTGTGGCGGTGAGGGCAGCGAAAAAGAAATTCTTCTCCGTTTCCATTGCCTCCTCACAATGCCGTCCGGCGGAGCTTTCTTGGGTGGTACAAGGGCTGGTTCATCCTGGCCGTAAGAAAGATCCTGTACCACCCTCGAAGGCCCACTGTGACGAATTTGCCAAGCATCTTAGGGAGAAAATCACTCAGATTCGTCATAAGCTGGACTCCACTAGTGACCCAGAGGCTTCTGGGGAGATACCAATGTCGCCGTCTGGTCCAAAATTGATGGCTGAGTTTCAGTTACTGCGGCCTGATGTGGACAAGGTGCTTGGACGAGTATGTCCACCACCTGCCTCTTATAATTAACAACGCCAAACACGGGATAGGGACCTGGATCCTGGAAGTGGTTAGCGCCTCTCTGAAGGATGGCCGGGTACCTGCCCCTTTAAAGAAGGCAGTAGTCCGACCAGTCCTGAAGAAGGCATCCCTGGATCCAGAGATGGACACTAATTATAGACCAGTGGCCAACATCCTGTTTTTGGGCAATGTGTTGGAACGGGTGGTGGCGGGACAACTCCAAGCACTCTTGGATGAAACTGATTATCTGGACCCATTTCAGTCCAGCTTCAGACCTGGGTACGGTATTGAATCTGCCTTGGTCCCCCTGTATGATGACCTGTGCAGGGAGAGAGACGGGGGAGTGCGTCCCTGTTGGTTCTCCTGGACCTCTCAGCGGCTTTCGATACCATCAACCATGGTATCCTTCTGGATAGGCTAGCGGGATTGGGGGTTGGAGGCACTGCCTTGCAGTGGTTCCGCTCCTATCTCAATGGCCGATTCCAGAAGGTGGTGCTGGGGGACTATGGCTCTGCGCCATGGCAGTTATGCCATGGAGTACCGCAGGGATCCATTTTGTCCCCTTTGCTATTTAACTTCTACATGAAACAGCTGGGAGAGGTCATTAGGAGGTGTGGGCTGAGGAATCATCAGTACGCTGATGATACCCAGCTCTACCTCTCATTTTCCACCAATCCAGGTGAGGCAGTGGCTGTGCTGAACCGGTGCCTGGCTGAGGTAATGGGCTGGATGAGGGCCAATAAACTGAAGCTCAATCCAGACAAGACAGAGGTCTTGTTGGTAGGCGGATAGGGCTTCGGGGAAGGGGACCTTGACCTTGTCCTGAATGGGGTTGCACTCCCTCTTAGGGACAAGATCTGCAGCTTGGGAGTGCTCCTCGACCCAGAGCTTTCACTTGAAGCACAGGTGACAGCAGTGGTGAGGAGCGTTTTCTTTCAGCTTTGGCTGATCTATCAGCTGCGTCCCTACCTGGAGAACGACTGCCTGGCGACAGTGACACACGCGTTGGTAACTTCCCGACTAGACTTCTGTAACACACTCTATGTGGAGCTGCCCTTGAAGATGGTCCAGATACTTCAGTTGGTTCAAAATAGAGCTGCCAGGCTGCTGACGGGGACTGGGCGTTATGTTCACATGACTCCAATCCTCCATCAGCTTCACTGGCTCCCCATTGAAGTCTGGGCCCAATTCAAGGTGTTGGTTATTACCTATAAAGCCCTTAACAGCTTGGGTCCTGGTTACCTAAACGAGCGCTTACGTCCATATAGGCCCTCCCGCCCCTTGAGATCAGTGGGAGAGGCCCTTCTCTGGGAACCCTCTGTGAAGGACATTACGAGGGTAAGTACCTGGAGGAGGGCTGTCTCTGTGGTAGCGCCCAATCTATGGAATGCGCTCCCCAGAGAGGTCCGCCTGGCGCCGTCGTTATTTGCTTTTCGGCGCCAGGCCAAGACCTTTTTATTTAAACGTCATTTTAATTGTTAACATTCTTCATTGATTTTATATCTTTGGCCAGGACGTCTCCAATTATATTGTTTTATATGGTTAATGTGTATTTATTTATTGTTGTGAGCCGCCCCGAGGCTTTGGCTAATGGGGTGGCACAGAAGCTTGCTAAATAAATAAATAAATAAATAAATAAATAAATGAAATGGGCTAAAAATCTTATAATAAACAAACAAACAAACAGTGCAAACAGGCCATCTTATTAAAACATTTGCAACATTAATTCATAAGTAAAAATAACTGGAGTGAAATCAATGTGAAATTCTACCTATGCATTCTGAACAACCATCAATGGTTACTCATCATTATGATTATATGTTACCTCCAGGACTGGAGGCATTGTTCTACTACATTCATATTCTGTGTGTGGGCTTAACGTAGGCAGCTGATTAGACACTATGTGAACAGAAGGCTAGACTAGATAAGTGCTTGGTCATTTCCATTGTAGCTCTAATGTAGCCCTGTCCATGCCATTCTCATTTATAGTGAGGAAAGAATATGCATTATTTTTAGAACCAAATGTTTTGGGCACATACAATTTTTCTTCTACCTCCTGATCCATTTTGAAACCTTGAACTCACATTGTGTCCCTTGCCTTTGTTACCCAAAGTGGGCACATGGCATTAACAGAACCTTCATGCACAAACCAGTAGCAGTGTTGCCAATTTGTATATGGTATGACATTTTGTGTAAAAGGGGGTGAAATCCAACCTTTGGTCCTGGAGCACCTTGAGGGCCTGGTGGCCCTTGAGGACCTGGTGGGCCCTGCAACAAAGGACAGCAATTGGTTTCTTAATGTCTGTTTACAGTATACATATTTTGAGCTAATAATATATGTAATATCCTCTATAGATCAAACAGTGTAGTCTTTTTTAATGGTCTATGATGGAGACCATCTAATTTTCAAGGATTTAGAGTAAGGATGGGAAGAAGGCAGATCTCCAGATGTTTTGGACTTCAGTTTCCAGAAGCCCTTGCCAGCATGGCCAGTAGTCAGATATGTCTGGTATAGAAGCCCAAAATATTTGGAGATCTACCATCTGTTCATCCGTGACATACAGCATCCCCAACTCAGAAAAAATGATAAATAACATTTCCATTTAAGCAAGCACTACTTTGTTAATTCTGCATCACAGATACTTTAAGATGACAAAAACTTCTCCTATCATGATATCATATTTCCCATCTAGTTTGTTACTGAATGGAAACTTTGTTTTCTGTCTTTCTAGACCACTTCCATTAGCCAACAGTAAGCTCATACAATTTCCCAAATTATCTTTTGTTTTGAGAAGGAAAATCAACTTTGGCATCAGTGCAGCCCATCAAGTACCACTGCACCACTACTGTTAATACATGTGATAGAATGTGAGGTATAGTGCTGACTTGTATGAGCTTGAGAACAGGCAATTGCATATTTTAAAAGAGACAACATTGTTTCTTTGCAAGACTTACACACCAAATTCCTTAATTTTAATTGATAAAATTATTTTCTGGAAAAAAAAAATCCCCATTATCAAACATTTTTCCTACTCAGCTTTCAAGACAAAAGATCAGATCCAAAGATACCCTTCCTCTGTTTCAGGAAGATCCTTCTCTGGAAAAGGGACACCTCTGGAACTAACTCAGACTATTCAGACATTTGCTATGTTGGACCATTCCTCTTTGCCTCTTAGAGCAGAGCTATTTACAAGGTTTTACACTGAGCATGCATTCAGATAGTTGTACGAATATGTTTACTTGCAATCATATCTAATTTTCCACATGTACTAGAACTCCACTTAGCCCAGGCTATAGGTCTGTAGTGGGGAACATCTTTCAGCCTAAGGACTAAATCCTCTTTTAGAGGCCCACATTCCAGTGGTGGGGCAAAAGGGGACAGGGTAAAAAATTAAAACACACACACACAAAAAGCATCTTGTAGCTCAAAGTGCTTACTGCCAGTAACAAAGAATTAGGCAAAACATTTCAACCTTTAGAATGTAGAACACATTGCACAAAAGCTAAGAAACCAACATATGGGAGAAGGAGGGTGCAGCCAGGAACAGGGGACATGGATATATAGGGAACCCTGGAAGGATATACCAAGTGCTAGATTTTGCTCCAGGGCCTTGTGTTTCCTGCTTAAAGGGGGCATCATACATTAGGAGGAGCATGATCGTGTTGTGGCCTTGTCCCTCAGATTTCCAGGACTTATCAAGGACTGCCTGCAGTGAAGAATCCTGTGCATGGGCAACTGCTCAAATGAGAACAATTCCCAATTGTGCTAGCATCCAAATCATGAGAAAGCCTATGCTCACGGGAGGCTTCTTCACTGCAGACCGGTCATGGGAATCCATGGGTGTCTGCAAGCAGGACCTCTCCAGATGTGATTTGTGCAGGAAACATGCTAGAACTGTGAACTGCTACTTGATAATTTTATGCAATAGTGTGAACTGCAGTCCCCTGCACAAGCCTTTTTTGCCCTGAGTTGCTGAGCAGGAACAATTTGTGAGGTGATTTGGAAGCAGAGCAGAAGTCAGAAACTGGTTACATAAGGTTGCTTTCCACATAACGTGGATAACATGTAGTTAGGGTTTCTGTGTGTTTATTTCATTTCATTTCTATACCGCCTCACAGCCAAAGCTTTCTGGCTGGTATACACAGTCCATAAAAACATGATAAAAGTACAACAAAATATAAGAAAACTAGGAAAACATTAAAAAGTTTAAAACAGCTCAAGACAGATGATAAAAACAGACAATAACAAGGGCTAACAAAAAAGGATAACTCTGCAAAACACCTGGTGTACCCCCTCAAGTGCCTGGGTGACCAAGCAAGTCTTTAAAAGCTTCAGAAAAGAGGGCTGTATTAACCTGGTGCTGAACATGTAACAGCTTTGGTGCTGGCCAAGGAGATCATTCCATAGACAGGGGCCACCACTGAGAAACCCATACCCTTTGTTGCCACCCTCTGCACTTCCATTGGAGTTTATTTTATCTGTGAAATAAAAACACTGCAAACAATGAGTGGAGCTGGTAGAAGTTGTGGTTCCAGACTGTTAGGAAAGCCCCTAATAGGAGTCCCTAAATGAGAAATTAATCTAGGCATCAAGGACAATCCCCGTTGGAAGTTTCATTACCCCTGCAGTGTTGAACCTCAGGCTGATCAGCCAAAGCCAGCCTACCTGGGTCCTCAAACTGGCTCTCTGGGGTTCCCCAGACAGCTTACCCCAATTCCCTCTGACAATTTACAGGCTTTTACATGTTTTCTTCCCTTATTCTGAAAGGTTCAATTCTTTTTCCTAAGGCTAATTTCCTGATAGTAAAAACCTTAAGCTAAAACTTGCCGGTATTTTGGTTGTACTCCTTTCTGCAAGCCTACAGCTGGAATCTTCAAAATAGACTTTGGACCACAGGCTGACAGAGGTTATATGCCCCTCCACCGCCCTAATGTAATAATGATTGGCATGGTCAAACCAATGTAAGTAACCCTTAAATCCCACTGACTTCAAATGGAAGCTAGGCTGGTTGTCAAATCAATGCCCAGTAAGTTTTCAAAGAAGCAAAAATGTAGTTTCAGCTGTTCAGCTTCAATAAGCAAAAGGACAAAGCAGGTAACACATTCATGGCTTCATTGTCAGTTTGCTTGCAACACATCAATCATGCTGCAAATGGGTATTTAACTCAGGGATTATTATTATTATTTCATTATTATTTAATTAATGGAAACCAAATGTTTGGCAGAATCTTTTTAACAATCATGATCCAACATCTAAAGCACAAAAGCCACATGCTGGGACATTCTAATAAAGCAATCCAAGCAGGCATCTGGCACAGATCAATTACCGTCAATTTGAGCTTCCCTGCAGCCTGTTATAAAACAATTAGGAAAGGTTTCAAATGTATCTAGAATTAAAGATTTACACTATTCAAATTCTCTGGCATTAGCTGAAATGGTAGTTTCAAGCACAGCCTGTCCCAAGTGGGAAAGACCTTCACCTATACAACTTTGTTTGCAGAAAATGTTCCAGTATAGCTTTCCTAATGGACCTGATGGGATCACTGAACTGCCACACCTATATATCTACTTGTTTCTTCGCAGTCTTTACTCATAGATGGGAAGTCACAACTACTAAATAACAAATCGCTGCTCATCCTACTTTGGTGTCACTTGGAGGAGCTGTTCAACCACTCACTGTGTAGAAATGTAGGCAAATCCCTGGCTCTTGCCAGCTGGGCCTAAATTTGTTTAAAGAGAGGAGGCCTTTGGATTGGAAATGGCAATGAAGAGTGATGGCGTTCTTGTTCAGCTGCTTCCCTTCTCCATTCAGAAACCAAAATGGAGCAACATAGCACTAGAAGTCAAGGCCACACAAATAATTGCCCTAACCTGCTATGATCACAACCCAGGACTCCATATGATAATTTTGTTTCATCACAGAGCGGCCAGATATGTCTCCTTGTAATACTATAGGTCTGTCAACACATTTCTCTTTCAGGGTCTTGTTTTGAGTAAGAGAACTGGCCATGGAGCTTTAGCAAACGGTTCCTGCTATGTAGGCAGCTCTGTCCAACAGGCAAGCAGCCCTTGGCCTCTCTCCATGCAGCCTGGGGAGCCATGCCCATTGCTCCTGCTGCCCAGCTGGTCAGTCATCAGCTGGGCAGGCAGGGCAAAGAACACCCTATCACAGTGCTACTGACAGCATGGGGCAGCAGCATGCTGTTCCCAAGGACTTTGGGCTTACTGGGGTGGGGAGAGGTTAAATCCTCCCCAAGTCTGCCAGTGACCCCATCTTCATTGAAAGTGTATGTGAGAGACAGGGAGGAAAAAGGGGTTGTGTGGCTCAACGTGAAAGACAGTGGAGGGAACAGTGTGTGCATGTGTCTCTCTGTTTGCATGCCTGTGTGTGTGTGTGTGTGAGAGAGAGAGAGGACAGAGAGACTGTATATCTCTGCAAGACAGTTTGGCAGGATGTGCACCTGTGATGAGAAAGGATGTGGCAGTGAAGAATGGGTGTCTACGACAGTGAATGAAGTAAGAGGGACCCATCCAGTGGCATTTCCCATAGCCATTGACTGCTACAGGTACTCCTCAAGGCAAACATACTGCCCCATTTGCCTTACATGCATGGTTCTTTGGACCACGGACTAAAGCCTGTATTTGACTTGTGTGTGTTGTCGTTATGTGCCATCAAATCATCTCCAACAGAAGGCGACTCTACGAATGAAACCCCTCCAAAACATCCTGCTCATGATAGCCCTGCTTTGTTCTTCTAATTTCAAGGAAGTGGTTTCCTTTCCTTTATGGATGCAATTCTTTTCATATTTGATCTTCCTTTTCTTTTTCTGCCTTGGACTTTCCCTAGCATGACTGCCTTCTCTAAGAAATCCTGCCTTCTCATGATGGATTTGTATTTAGGATTTGCAGGATTCTAACAGTGAGCAAATCTTGCCCTCAGCTGTTCCTAGTAGGTTTCTGACAGGCATCTGGATAGCCACTGTGAAAAATAGGATCTTGAACTAGATAGGCCTTGGGTATGATCCAAAAAAGCTCTTCTTCTATTCTAATAACTTAGTTGAGCAATTCATTTTGTCAGAAAAGAGCACAACCACATTCTATCATGAAAGTTACCTTGAGAGCTTCCAAGATTCTACCATCATAGTCAATTACTACAGTATCACCCTGTTCTCCTTTGAGGCCTGGAGGACCCTGAAGAGAAAAGAAAAATCATTAATATTATGGTAAAATGGATAATTTTCTGCTATTCATGTTCTATGAAAAATAGTATTTTTAGTGTTCAAATACTTCCAGATAGTCTAGAGCAGGGCAGTCTACTTTTTGTACCTAGAGGGCCACATGAGGACTTCGACACAGAACCTGGGGGCCACACAATGAATTGCATTTCCATGTTGTAAATTAAAGTGTTCACAGTGTATTTACTTAATTTAATATGCACAGTTGATTTATTTAAACACTAAGTGAGGGAGAAAACTGATATGAGGTCTCAGAGTTGATTTTAGGACGAACTGAATGGGAAAAAAAGCTCTGAAGAATGGAAATATCTCTGCAGAGATCACAGGCAGCTCCTTCTCCAACCACAGCCCAAGCACAATGACCGCTCCTCTGTGGTGGCCCATCCCTTTCTTCCCTGTTTCTCCCACCAGAACCCCTCCCATGTGTCCCCCTGTCCCCTCCTTCCTTCTTGGAATTAGCGTGCTGAGCCGCTTGTACTTAAGCCAACAAACTCTCCCCGACATGCCCTGCCTGCTCCTGCTGATGAGCTCAAAGGCCGAGTGTCTTGGTGCTTGTCAGCTGGAGCAGTATGGAGCACGCTGGGGCAAGCTCTTGCCAGGCTGCCAGCCCAACCCGCTCTCTTCTTCAGCCTCAGGAAGAGAGTGGGATGGGATGGCAGCTCATGCCAGTGCCATTGCTGGGATCTGCACTGGGGAGTAGGGGGGCTCTAAGTGGCAAGCAGGTAACATAACAAGGCCTTGGGGACTGCATGTGGCCTGTAGACTATGTGTTGGATCACCCTAGCTAGAGAATTAGTATCTGCTGAAGGGAAATGTCATATCACATACATTATTACAGTCCAAAGAAGGCACAATGGGCAGGGGAAGCCTAACCCTGTGCCTTTTCAGTGGTGGCACTACAATTGTGTTTTGATGTGCTAGGAAAAGCTTTTTGTTTCAAGTTTTTCAAAGAATGCAGTGCAATCCTGCACCTGTCTACCTGCAATCCTGTACCTGTTAATCTCACAGAGTTCAATGGTGCTTCCTCTCAGCAAAGCAGCTATATTGTGGCTGTATTGCAGTTTCTACGCATGTTAACTCAGTAATATATCTTAGTGACTTGGTGATTACACCTAGGTAAGTGTATAGAGTAGGGGTGAAAAACCACAGGCCCAGACTCCAAATCTGGCCTTCTAAGGGTCCCCAGATGGCCCCATCAAATACCTCATCACTTTTCTTTCTCTGCTTTTGTGTAATTGTTTCCCCACCCCACCTTCCAAGGTCAAAATGTCTTTCCTAAATCCTGATTATTGACAGTAAGAGCAGAAACCTGAACCAGTCAGTTGAACACTGTCTCCTTTGCCTTTGGCCCCACTCAGCACCAGAATGTAGCTCCCAAGAGCTTCTCTGCAGCGGAATACGGCCATATTCTCTGCAGTGGAATATGGCCTGTAAAGGGAAAAACAACACTGGATGCAAACCTCAGTGTGTGATCATTTGAAAGCACTTCAGCATGAAAAGCGGCACTCAGTCATACAAAATGGAACTTGCCTTTGGGGAATTTTGAAAGGCTATAAAACAGCCATATTAGCAGCATCCATTCCCAATTATGCGCTGTCACAGAAATACCAAAGCTCACTATTGCCATGAAATAATTTTCTACTCCAGAATATATTTATTACAACTTGCAGTTGAACTGGGTGCTGCAGATGAGGCTGAAAGTAGTTAACTTTTTCTATAGTAAATTTATTTTTGATAAACATCATGGTGTATATTTCAGCTCCTTTGCAAAGAATGCAAACATTGGTAAATGTGATTAAGCTTCAACTGTCTATTTTGGGGAGTTAAAGAAAGGTTGTAAATTTCATACCCTTGGCCCAATGTGTCCATCTGCTCCTCTCTCACCAGGTTCACCCTAAAAATAAACAGTGCTTGTTATTCTAAAGTATTAATTTAGTAACTAGACACATCAATACTTAATTTGTCTTGAGAATCAAGGCATAGAAGCAGTAACAACATTAAAAGGCTTTTAAAATAATCTATCTACAAAATAAATCAGCCACTCAGATACAAGACACCAAAACTTCCTGCAGGCATTGGAAAGCCTCATCATGTAACATTATACACAGCACACGGCCGCAAAGCCAAGCAACTTCTAATCAATTATGAAATTAACTTGGCAAAAGTAAAAAGACGGGGTGACAGCGGGATACCCCAGTGTTACAAATTAAGTTTGTTGCCACATTTTTGAAAGGAGAGTAACTTGGGTCATTTTGAAGCACTATTTTCTTCCATTTTCAAGCATGAAGAGATCCATAATCTTTTATACAACATTGTTAAGTTTGATGCAGACTTCATGAAACAGAGTATCTAAAAAGGTATAACAAACTGTTTGAATTGATCTTGTCTACACAAAGCAGATGTTCCCTTTTTTGCTGTAATCTTCTTGCTTCTAGTTCTACAATGTCACATCTTAGAAATGAAATTGGGTGGATAATAAGGAACACAGCCACAGTGCATTCTTCCTTGTCTTTTTTGTCACTACAAATGAGCTGACATTAATTCTAGTCAATATGTCACTAGTTCAAGCCATCACCCTCTCACCTCACTTGTTCCTCCTCTTCCAGCAGGGGAAAATTAACAAAACATCTTTCAGCTGTCACTTGAAATGGAAGAACAGAACCAGCAATATGCCACTGGTCCAGTATAGTTGTGAAACTGGGCTAATGATGTGACTGAGGGATGCTTGGTTTAATTCTTTTCTTCTCTCTCTCTCTTTTGTATTATGTCTTCATTCATTCTTAGGACACTGAGAAGTAGAGAACAGAAGAAGGCTGATTCTTTGGCCCTGAATCAGTCATCAGGGCCAAACTACTCTTGACATTTCATGTATCTGTGTCTGCTGTGTATGTTTTTGAAAATAAAAATTGCATCAGCTAATAGGAGGCAGAAAAGGCTGGTATGGAAAGGGAGAGAATTCAACCCTTTCTTCCACAGCTGTGGTGCTGAGGAAAAGCCTGTTTTCTGAAGCTGTTGTTTGCTTTTGGGGAAAACTCGCAAGATTTATGATGCCTCTAATATCACATCTACACTGGCTCTCAGTGTTTCTTACTTAAACATCCACTGATCATGGGATTTAGGAGCCAATGAGAAAGTGGTAGGTTATCAGCTCATCTATCACATTTACCTTGAGTCTGACATTCAGTGGAACATCTGCAGATAATCAAAGGAAGCTCCTTACTTGTATGGAAGTGATACTGAAATTGTTCCCATTTTCAGTTTTCCTTGGGGGTTGTTAAATAAGGTTGATAATGCCAGGCAAAGATTAACAAAAGCTTTCATTTCATCCTCCAGGCATAGCTCTGAAGACACTGTATTTCCAAGCTATGCTTTTATAGTTAGAAAATCTTATATTATAAGCAAGTATAATAAAGTTGTTAAAGTCTTTTATTATTTATAAGCAAGTTGTTAAAGTCTTTTATTCAGATTTTCACATTTGAATCTATGGTGTGCCTCCTTGTATCAGATCAAGATAAACATGCCACCTTTAAAACAGCTTTATTTGGACATTTGATATAAATTTGCCTGGTCATTACCATTATTTGTATTGGGTATATTCTTATATACGTATAATGTATTGATCTGGCTGTAAAATATCTTTTGCTCTGCATATCAATTCAATGATTATGTGTTTATTTCTATCTTATTTATCTTTTATAATGCAGAATTATTATCATATATTAATACCATATCATAAGCTATGGTATTAATCAATATGTTTTCAAACTGAACTTGAAAATGCAAGGTCAGAATAGGCAAAGGAAAGAAATGTTCTGCATTCCTGCCAATGCTCAAAGTCCCATGCTCTGACCTCTAGCTAGGGAGGTTGAATGTGTACCACTAGGAGCAAGAGATGAAAAAGTGCTGCAACACATTTGCAATTTCTGGTAGCCATTTGCCAACTTCAGCCAAAGCCCATTCCATTTCCATGTTTGGAATTCCTAGCCCATACAGTGGAATTCCCAGCCCATACAGCTCTGAACATCACACTAGCTGCTCTGCACAAAAGCATCACATAGACAACAAAGGATGAGCTGCCTCAGAAATTCAATATGAAACTGCATTTCATATGAACTATGGCCTCACTACTGCCTGGTCACCATGCAAAGCTCCTGTCTTGCCCTCTACCTGTTGCGTTTGTTCAAAAAGCAAACACACATCTTGAATCTCACAGAACAGGGTCTAAGAGACAGAGTACTAGCAGAAAAATGGTAGGGATGGAACGGGTTAACCATTCTTGCTTGCCAATGAGTTATCTGTTCTAAAATGGCCTCTCTAAATTTTTCTGTAAAAAAAGTAACCACTTCATTTTTCAGATGTAAAGGCACTGTATAAACCAGAGACATGTTGTTCTTGAAAGGTAAAGAACCCTGCAGGTTGATGGGCTGCCAAGGAAAAATATTCAAATATTTGCATGAATTTTCCGAAATGATTTGCATGGAGTACTGGGACTCCTGTCCTCAGTGTCCTTTCCCATAGACTCCTAAGCTTCTGCCATTTAGCCAATCTGGACCTTTGCCTCCCACTTGTCCCTATTTTATTGTTCCTGAATGAGATTCAATGGAAAACTTACTTTCTAAGCAGCAAAAAAGTTAGTCTTACTGTTCTTTCTCATACACTGCTTACCTTTTGCCCTGGTAGGCCATCAATGCCTTTTTCCCCCATTGGGCCAATGCTTCCTGGTTCTCCCTGCAGTGTTCAAAAAAGTTGTGATGCACAACTCTCAGTTTCTAAGCCTGGCATGTACTAATCTTCTTATTCTGTCCTGTGTGCTGCTTACCTTTGGCCCTGGCAGGCCATCTAAGCCTTTTTCTCCCACTGGGCCAATGCTTCCTGGTTCTCCCTGCAGTGTTTGGAAGAAGTGCAATGGAGAACTCTCAGTTTCCAAGCAGGGCATGTGCTAATCCTATGATCCACACACAAGCACTGCTTACCTTTGGCCCTGGCAGGCCATCTAAGCCTTTTTCTCCCACTGGGCCAATGCTTCCTTGTTTGCCCTGTAGTATTGGAAACAGGTGCAATGGAAAACTCTCAGTTTCCCTGTAGGGCTTGCACTAGACAATTTTCCCCTATCATATCTAAAACATTTTCATACTCTCTCTGTTCAGGTGGTGTAAAACATATACAGATCATCACCTGAACTTCATGAAATGCAGGTGCATGTAAAATGTTAATGAGTCATTACATACTTATTAAAATGTATAGAATAATGTCTTATCCTGCATCTAACAACTTTACAGTAATGATGAGGTACACTTCTGTACAAGTTGCATTCCAACACCAGAAAGCCACCACTGGAAAACATTCTCCTTCAAGATCACATAGCACAGTCAAGAAAGCAATAGTAAAGGTAAAGATTCCCCCACACATGCTTGCTAGTCACACCGAGTCTGCGGCCGGTGCTCATCTCCGTTTGTAAGCCAAAGAGCCAGCATTGTCCAAAGATGCTTCCATGATCATGTGGAGGCATGACTAAAAGTGAAGTGCATGGAACGCTGTTACCTTTCCTGCCAAAGTGGTACCTATTTATGTACTCGCATTTACATACTTTTGAATTGCTTGGTAGGCAAGAGCTGGGACAAAGCAGTGGAAAACTACCCCCTTGTGTGGATTTGAACTGCCAACCTTCTGATCAGCAGCCCAGTGGCTCAGTGGTTAATCTGCTGCACCACCTGCGTCCCAAGTGAAGCAATACTTTAGTATAAATTTTTAAGACACATGCATCTATTTTTTTCTATCCTTTCCTGTACGCAGCTTACCTTTGGCCCTGGTAGCCCATCTATGCCTTTTTCTCCCACTGGGCCAACACTTCCTGTTTCTCCCTGCAACATTTCAAAGAGGCACAATGGAGAACTCTGTTTCCAGGCAGGGCATGTACTAATCTTTGGATCCATTCACACACACTGCTTACTTCTGGCCCTGAAAGCCCATCGATGTCTCTCTCCCCTACTAAGCCACTGTTTCCTTGATTTTCCTGTGGTGGTTGAAAGAGGCGCAAGGGAAAGTGCTCCCTCACCAGGACATTACGTGGTCTTAGTATGCTATTCAGTAAGATGCTTACCTTTGGCCCCGATGGCCCTGGAAGTCCATCAATGCCTTTTTCTCCTATGGGTCCGGTACTTCCCTTTTCACCCTGTAGTTTATGTAAAAATGAAACAAACTCAGCATGAAATTGTAACATAGAAGCTGTGGTTTAACTAATGTTCTTAATTAAGCATACTTAGCTCATTTTAAGGAAGAAACCTAAATTTCTGCTACTGTGTGGATTCCTTTCATTTCAAAATTCAAATACTGCACTTAAAATAGAATACAAAATCTAAATGACTTTCAAGCATGAACAAATTATTTGTTAGCTAGTCAATCCATTTGCTCGTTACAGGAGCAGTGAAATGTTTAAGGGTAGAATCCAAAAACATATATGTGGGAATTTTTTCCTCTTTCCTCCCCACTGGAGAGGCCCCATAGAAATCTGTTTCACAGGGTCTCCTATCCTGTTTGTAGGGGAAGAAGAAATACTTCCTTCCTGTTCCAGTAAAAAAGCTTAACTGGACCCAAACATCTTAAATTCTCGATTCATGGTAATATATGCTGAATTTTTCTGAAAATGTTGCAGACAATCTTGCTATATGGCTTTCGGAGTGCACTTCTACTGGTTTAATACTCTGTTGTCAGAAGGCCTCCTGAGGTTGGAGCCTTCCATCTGTGCAAAGATCTGCCAATAGGAACCAGGAACTTCAGAGGTGAAAAGCATTTATAGCTCTATTGGCTCCAGTAAGTGGGCAGAGATGGCAAAGGACATGCTTGAAAATCCAGCAGATCCATGTCTCTTTCCTTTGCTCCCTGCCCAACATCACACTCCCTTTCCTCCCTCCCCAACCCGCTTCCAAAGTCCCAAAACTATCTGCAGTGGTTGCCTGTTCAGATCCCCACCCCTACCCCAAGAAAGAGCCCTGTCTAAAGCATCATGGAAGTGGAATCCACACAGTAGCAGAATTCCTGAAGCACCCTCCTTCCTAATGACAACAGAAGTGCTCTGACAACCACAAGTGCGTTCAGGACCAGAATTTAACACGATTAACCTGTTTACTGCAAGTTTCCTAAGGAGCATTTGAATTTTAATGTTCCTTTCTCTCTCTCAGAGAAAGAAACAAGCTGTATTGTTCTACTCCATTTAATAACAATATTAGCAAAGACAGATACAAAAGGAATTTTTTCTTTATATTGTTGGTTATTGTTTTTAATCTGGGTAACTGTTTTATTTCAATAACTAATTGATTTAATTATATTTTTCACTTTTTCTGTTTTGGATGTTTTATTTGTATGCATTTCAATGCTGTAAACTACGTTGAGTTCCAATCATTGGGAATAGTCAGAATATAATAGTAATCACAATCACAATTATAATAATTTTCAGACACAGAAATGAAGTTTACCTTTGGCCCTTGAACCCCTGGCTCCCCTGGGATTCCAGCATCACCCTGATGAAACAGAACACACATAGGTGACACTGAAATACAAAAAGTGCATTATGTTTGCCAAGTTCAGTGTGGGTAGAGACTAAGCTTAACCATAAAAATAACTCTCAAATAGCCTGAATTCAGAATTTGCGGCTATATTCTACCAAGTTGCTAGAGGAAAAAGAAATTTCATTTGCAAGTTCAGAATGGCCTTGTATGCAGTGTTTTTAAGTCAAGAAGATACAGCTCACTGTCTGTTCAAATCACTGAAATCTAATTCTTACATATGTTTAAGAAATCTTGTTGCCAATATTATATGTAGTTCTGAGCAGTATGTAGTAATTATCCAGGGTCTTCCACCTTGGCCATATCTGCCTTATGGCCCTTAGAAGCTCTATACTCTGGATCTTCAACCTGCCAACACTATCCAAAATAAACATACATCTCCTCCTGTTCCAGCAATTCTGCTGCCTTGGTGAAATAATGCAGAAAGATTTTCCTCTACTTGAGTAAAGACAGGTGGAAGAAGAGCTTTCTGTATGAATACATCAGGGCCACAAGAGGTTGGAGTCAGATATGGGTAAGACACTTTTATTCAGCCATGTGGACAGTGTAATATTCACAACTCCCGTGTTCTGGTTGGTTGCAGGTGATAGTGTCCAAATGGGCAAATAAATATAAATATGTTAAATTCTTTTGTTTAGTTATAAAACACCAAGTATTACTGTGCGCCCATTATGAGCCACACATGCTTTAAAAATAGAAATTTACAAACTGAGCAGAATAGACAAGCAAGTAGTTTAACAAGTGGTTAAGCAATTATGAATATTTGCTACTCATAAAACAAAGCAGAATGAAAAGAGAACTGTCAGAGCAGGATGGAGCATGCAATTATACAAATCATGACCCATATTCCTCTACATTACTGCCATGACTGGTTATTCATTTCAACCAATGGCCATTGCAACATTCCAAGGTATAGAGAATACATTTGAGATATATATATTTCCAAAACCTTGACTGCAGATTTGAATATATACTTCATAATTTATAGTAAAACATAAATAGTCCTCAAACTGAATATAACATGCATTCTTTAATATTTTTGCTATTTTGCATAACTAGTATGCAATGATTTATTAATCCAATCTCTGAAGGATGGCATATTCACAAATTTCCAATTCGTAATAACCATAATTGCTGTTGACATCAATATGTTTTCTATCAATCAATGATTTTAATTATTAAGATTACTGACAGTAATTGACAGTAATTTAGTATCACTGCCTCTAGTCTTCATTGTTGCAGTCTGTTGTATATTTTACATACCTGGTGGCATCCACCCAGTTTACTTTAATTTTCCTGACATGCTCACCAAGCATCTGCTAAATTAATTCGTTCCTTCAGTCTGTTCATTAACTGCACATAACTTTACTCCAAGAAGTAGTTCACTTCCTAATCATTTCTATCAGTCAATAAGCGTGTTTTGTGTGTGGGCATGCATGTGTGACTGAGTGCATGATATCCCACAGTAATAAAGCAGTAAAGGTTAAACAGTCTTTACACCAAAGAGCTGCGTGCAGCTGTCACATTTCTGATCCTCTGAACCAAGGGCAAGTAATGTGGGTGCCAATGCATTCACAGACCCCTCCCTCCTGCCTGGGCAGAGCCCTTCCTGAAGTAAAACATAAGATGCAATCCATCATCTGCATTGGAGTGCGCACAACATGAACATGCAGAATGGCTACTGGCATGCATAGCCTGGCCTAGCTCTCTCCCTTTGTGGCCACTTAGTAAAGAGCCATTCCCAGTGGCACCAGTTGTGAAGTGTTGGGAGATGGAAACTAGACCAGGCAGCCCAGGCCACAAGCAAGTGCGCGTGTGCGCGCACACACACACAAGCACTGCTGCTGCTGTGGTACTGGCCCCATGGGATGAGAAGAGCTAGAGCATGCTCTCTCTCCCTCTCTCTGGTCTCAGGGGAAACGGCAAGAGGAGCATGTGCTCCTGCCCTCTCCTTTTTCCCACATCCACTGTCAACAGAACGGCCCCACCCGCCTCATGATAGGCCTGGCTTTGTTGGGAGGATTGGAGACATGATGTCAAATGCAAACCACATTTGAAAGATAGAAAAATCAGTCACTTACCTTTTTCCCTGGGATACCAGGATCACCCTTCAAAATAAATAAATGAAGCATGTATATGAGATAAGTTAATGGCAGGATTGAAATAGTTTAAAAATTATGTAAGAGGTTCCCTATCCAGCTCACTCCCAGGACCCAACCGCATGTTTAGCTGAAGGCTATGGTCCAGCCTTGGGCTGCATGCAGTCACACCACTGCAACACCACCGCTGTCCTCCCACAGCTCTGCCACCCACCCACTCATGGCACAAGTGCAAGAACTCTGAGTTTTTATTATCCATTCCATGGAGATCGAGTGATCCAATTTTAGAAGCAGGCTGAAATGGTGTCAAAATATGGTATGAGTCTCCCTGAAATAAGCCAGGAAAATTGCTCATGCAAAGACAAAATATCAGTTGTCCTTCTGCACTATACATGATTGATAGCCATCATATCCAAAATGGTGCAACCAAGGATTACAAGTCCAAAAAATACAGTATCACCCTCTAGAATCTAAAACCTTAATGGGAATCTACACTTTAAGGAACAGGAAAACAGGAAAAAGAAGATAACCAGAGCAATGATAAATTAACTAGTTTGACAGCATCAAGAGGACAATGGAGGATATTGCTGCTATTGCTGAGTTACTTTTCTGTTAGAAGAAATACAAAACAAATGAAAATAATGACAGAGTCAAAGTAAAAAAAAAAAAAAACAGTAGAAAACCAATCCTATGGAAAACAGAACCATTCCAGTAAAAAGCATAAACGAAAAAAGCAGGAACATCAATAATTAAAAAGGCCCATGTGAATTAAAATGGCCTAGGTTCATCTAAAATAGCTGTGTCCACATCATATGAGAACTAACACAACAAGCTAGGCCTATCTATCTCGGTTTTTTTTTTTTTTTAGGAGGCTGGTGTATATGTGTGTAATTAGATCAGTGATACCAAAGTGGGAAGTACTATCCCCTGGGGGCAGTGGAAAGATCCAGGGGGTGGTGGTGGGGAAAACAGGGATGGAAAGATGACAGATTATGTCCCATGGGGCCTCTTAAGATGGCTGGTGCCCAAGGCCATCCATGCTACGCCTGCTTCATCGTCACTGCTGCTGCCAAGGACTGCTGAGGCCGGCCTCATCCCCCCATAGCCCTGCAAGCCACCAGAGCGCCCCTCTCCTGATGCCCTGGTGAGAGTGGGGATGAGGTTGCGGGGAGAGAGAGGCCAGGCCAGTATTGATTAATTCAAGTATGGAAAATCTAACCACATTCAAGTGTTGCTGTTTTCTAAAGTTGTCAACAGAACCTGTAGCAAGCCAGTGATATGAGTGCTATTAGTATTAGAAGATGATTGCGCAATGCATTACAATGATACATGAAAAGGATATTTAAATGCACAAGCCAAACCAAAGAAAACAACATGGAATATTCTGAACTGCACATAGGCACTGATTTGGATTGGGTCAGAGATGATGAGATTTCCAGATTATGTTCCACTTCAATGCTTCATCAGGTGCACTTAGGGAGCAATCTTACACATGGTTAGACAGAAAAATCCTACAACTCCAAGCATCACCCCAGCCAGCATTTTCTCCAGGGGGCAGTTGAAAATAACCTAGCTGCTTGAATAGCTCTTCCAAAGACTTAAGTAACTGATGTAAATTATCCAGATAAGCTAACCAAGGAAAGAGCTTTTAGGGTTTGGAGATCTGATTATGAATTGCCTTCCATGAGGTTTCTGCAAAGGATTCACTCTCTTCTGGGGAGTTCTGGTTAAGACATTCTGAATGATTTGCACCAGACAAAAAGGTTTTGGAAAGAGTTAACTGGTAGACTCTAGCTGCATTTTGTTGTAATTCGCATGATTTCTTTAAAATATATTTTGTTGAATTCTTCCAAAACACTAATTCTGTTTTTTGTGATGGACTAAAAAGAATGACATTTATTTTTCAGATTTGTTTACCATGTTCAATTAAGTTAATTTGCAACGGCAAGAAAGTGAAGTTAACCTTATCCAGGTTAAAACAGTTCTCTCCACATCTCTGTCCAAGTTACAGTTATTCAAACGTAACATAGCCTGTTATGAATGCTTCCAGTCTCCCTGAATTGGAGAATGAGAAGTGCATATCAGATGATGACCTTTTAGTTTATTGTGAACATCTGGAAGAGCTGCACAGAGACATGTCTGATAGATTTCAGGATCTTTTTTGCTTAAAATACCAGACTGGGCAATCAAGCTATTCCTAGATATCAGCAATCAGGAAACAGGAATGGTGGAAGAAGTTTGGAGTGTCATTTCACTCCACAATGACATTAAGTTGAGGTCAAATTTTTAAAAAACCACATTAAGATTTCTGATTACAGGAAAAAAAATTCTGCCCACTACTCTGAACTGTGGAACAAAGTCAAGATGCTTTCCCAATATCATATTTAGTAGAGTGAGGCTTCAGTGCAGTTACCCAGTTTTTTTCCAAACAAAGAAACAGACTTAACATTCCTGAAGGCAGAGATCTAAGGTTTCTTCTTAGAAACCAGCCTGATGTTGAAAAATTAATATCTCTGCACCAAGCACATCTATCCCTTACAGATGAGATGTAAATTTATTTTTAATTGAAAAAACACTAAATAAATTGTTTTACAAAGTTGTTTTATTTGTGAAATACATAGGCTTGTTTAACTTTATAGTATCAGATTGCTTATTTTAAATCTGCAGTAGAGCAATAGACCTAAGACAAAGAAAGAGGTGTGGGGTCACTAGGGTTGTTGCCCAAGAGGAAAGGGAGCAGCAGCCCGAAAAAGCCTGGGGACCACTGCTTTAGATGAATCTACTTGTGCATGCAAAGAATGCATGAGGGCGACCAGCCAATGGAGGCTAGCCTACCTCTGCTGCCTGACCTGGTGCTCACCTGTCTGTCATCCACGTGCTTAGTGTACATGTGAAAGAACTTGACACATGTACATGTGTACATGAGTGTGGTTCCTTACAAAACATTAGGACAACATGAGGATTGTGACTGGCTTGGGCACATTGGGAAGGGGACGTGGACACTGGTCACAAACCTGTTTCCCATCAATACACCAATACTGTGTGGATGTGCCTCTAGGGTTGTGTGTGTGTGGTGGGGTTGTAGTTCCCAAATTTCCAATTTCTCAAATTGGGCGATAAAAGATCAATATCTCATTTTTCTAACAAACTTTGCTAAACAATAATACATAAAGCTTTTAAATAAATAAATCAACCATATAGATTCTTTTGTGGATTTAGTTACTAGAAGAAATGTAATTCAAGGCTGTAACCAGTCTTTGGTGTGAATGACCTGAGAATCTAAAAAAGATTTAGATTCTCTCATCAAGAGAAAATGATGCAACTAAATTAACCATGGATAAGAAAGTGAAAACCTGTAGCTGAACTGCAATGAATCTCTGTGTGCAAATGCTACATAAGTCAGAGGAGCACTAAAGCAAGGCTAGGAGCCCACACAGGAACATGTTTGTTTAGTTAACCTGACTGAGTCTGCATTAGGTTCGTTATGTCTTCCCTACCTTTAGTCTTCCACTGTACTAAGACCTTGCTGGAAGTAAATATTTATAGTGTATTTGCTTAAAATTAAAGCCTGGGAGTTTAAACAACCAGCCATGATATTCCCCAGTAGAGGCAGGGTTCAGGGCTGACCCATGTCTTTCATTTGGAGCCCAAATCTCCAGAAGGCCATCAAATGCCCTTCTCTCCTCTGTCCATACATCCCTTTCTAGGCATGGGGATGTCCTCAGGAGACAGCATGCTTTAAAGACAGACACATACACCCTAGAGCATATGTAAATGCTCTAGGGTTTTAAAATCCTGTGAGCCTAAGACCTGGATCTCTTGGTAAGTGACAGTACCTCTGCTCTCTGGCATACGTACAGTGCTTACATGAAGGAGATCTCTAAAGAATACGAGCAACTCCTTGCTCTCCTTCCTGGCCTGTGCACATGAGCACTCAGTACTTCAGAACAGCATGGGACCTGGGAGGTCCTTGCACATCTTCCATGTAGCTGGCAAGCTCTCTCTTGTTCCCTCAGTCAAGGAATGAAGGATTTGATCCTTGGTACCTGACTAAGAGGATAAATTTGACAGGGATAGAAGAAATGTGGTTAGGTTTGCTGTTTCTTAAATTAGCCTGGGTGTGTACATTGACTTCCACTGGGTGGTAGCGGTGAAATGTTTTGTTCTTTGGGGATCTTCATGTATGCTATTGTGCCCAGACAATGGTGGACTGCAACTTCAGTATTTAAGAAATACTTGCTTTGCTAAGAAATCTGTTTATTTTCGGACAATTAGAAGTGTTAATTGTAGCTCTCTCTTAATGTTAGTGTTATGTATTACATGCCCAAAACATTTTCCAGTTTACACTGAATCAAAGAACTCTGGGTAAGGAAAAGAACTGAATAGCTCCAACCGCCAAATAGGAATCTGTGGATCATGGGTAAGTGAACACAGAAAATCTGAACCTGGCAAGGGAGCCAGAGGTCTAGCACACTAAGCAATGATAAGCCAGGATTTAGTTTCATGTACATATACCTCTGTGAGACCAAGTAAAGCCTTAGCCTGAAATGCTCTGTGGTCCCCTCTTCTCCTATGTTGCTGGGAGGAAGAATAAACTGTCCAATTGCTGATTATGTAAGAACCAATAATTGTGGTATCAAACAAGCCATAATTTGTTAAGTCCCCCACCCACCCCATCCAAACTTTGTAATAACTGAATAGAGTTTAACGTGATTATGGAATTCTGTCATGCTGTGCAAATTGAGCTATCTTAAAAAAAATAATCATTTCTATACTTCTCAATAGCTGAAACTCCCTGGGCAGTTCACAACAGCAGATACAATACAGTGGAAAATACAAAATACCAATAAAAACAAAATAAAAATACAATGCAGAATTTAAAAGCCAAATTTAGAAATAAATTTAAAAAGCTAAAATAGCTTTCACAACTCAAGTGAGAAGATCTGTTCAGCAGTTGATGTAATGCTCCAATATAATATAAAACTAATTGACTTGTCACAAAGGCCTGTCTGAACTCAGCATTGAAAAGATAATGAAGTTGGCACCAGGTGGGCCTCAGTGGGGAGCTTGTTCCATACATGGGAGGCTGCCACTAAGAAGGCCCTTCTCTTTGTTGTCACCAACCAAGCTTTTCTTAGCGGTGCCAATCAGACACAGGCCCTAGATCTGGACCAATATTTGGGTAGTTTGCAGATGGGACAGGTGTTTCATAAGGTATTGTGGGCCTAAGCCATGGAGCTTTTTATAGGTTAAAACCAGCGCCTTGAATTGGGTTCGGAAGCATATAGGCAGCCAATGCAAGCAAGCCAGAATTAGTGTTGCATGACAGACCTTCTGGTCCCTGTATTAGTCTGGCTGCTACATTTTACACAAGCTGCAGCTTCTGAACAGTCTTCAAGGGTCGCCCTACATTGCAGAAGTTAGCAGAGCATGGATTAATGAAACCAGGCTATCCCTGTCAACATAAGAGCCTAGCTGGAGCACCAGCTGAAGCCAGTAGAGGGCCCCCTGTGAGTTAATCCCATTTCCATAGATACTAGGTTGCATCCAGTAATGTCCTTCCAGCAGCAAGTATGAGCCCCATGCAGCCCCTGATATAGTCCAAATAAGCTTCAGGGGATTGCAGGACCCTCCAGAGAAGATTTGGGGGGCATATGGGGGCTGCAGGAGTTGAGCACAAGAACAGAAATTCCCTTGGCAGAAGCAGAAGTAAATTTGTACCATGTTGGATTTAGCTAGTGTTCTTTCAGCAATCTTCCGGCAATTGCCACTGAGAACCTTTTCCCTCAATGATTGTGACGTCTTCCATCAACATAGTACAGATACAGCAGTCTTGAAAGGCTTGTGAAATGGCAGTGGGGCTTTGATTAAGCAGCAGGGGGATAGAGTGCAGAAGAAGAGGTGGACACCCACATTTTTCTTATGATATCACATCCAACAACTGTAAAATATAAACACTTTGGAGGCTGCATTGGATGTCTTCCTTTTTTTAAATATTTTATTAAAATTTTTAAACTAACACTAAAAAAAAAATGAAGTATCGCAAACATTGGATTCACTGGGTCAACCTCCTACTACATATTTTTTAACATTCTAATATCAAATTCCAATTCATTTATCATAGTTTGAAAAACATCTCAGAATTACGCCAAGTCCCATTTCTCCAACCAATTATAAAAAGAGTCCCAAGTTTGATAGAAATTGATGTCTTCCTGTCATTTAAGAAAACTTTAGAAAAAAATCAATGGGTCTTCTGATATTCTAAGTTTAGAATTGGTAGTTCCCAAGTTTCACGGGCAGCACATGCACTGTTTTTAAAATACTATTTCAATATGAAAAAATATTCTAAATAGCCCGTCAGTAGAATAAAATAAAATTGTGTGAGATGTAGGGCAACAAAAGCAGAGGAAAAATGCAGCAATGCTTTAAGAAAACACACTCACCTTCTCTTGTCTGATGACAGAGAACCTGCTGCAGCAGTGTGGAAAGCTGATTCAAAGCAGCCACAACTCCGGTTGTTTCAACCTTTTAAACCTGGTAATGCTTGTTCTACACTGAACTTAGCATTGTTCGGTGCTAAGATGTTATGTGGTAGTGGCTGGCAAGCAAAATCAAAGTCAAGGAAAGCAACTACTTAAGGTTATTCTAGGCAAGCAGAAGACCAGGACACAGAGGTGACAAAGAAATAACATACACATCTAAGCTGGATTAAACAAGCACCCCTTGCTTAAGTTTGAAAATCAGTTCATTAGGGTTGATTTTAATACCACAGATTGCATACTAACCATGATACCAGCTTCTCCAACTTCTCCTTTCTCACCCTAAAGAAACACAAATTTAAGTTATTTGAAGGAGACCAATAATGAATGTCTTCCTAACATCACGTTTTTAAAGGTCCTCTTAAATGCACAACAGTGAAAAGAAGTGTGAAACTTAAAAAATAATGCTTTCAGAACATGTTTTCAGATATTTCACTGACTTAGGGAGCATAAAAATGTTGTGATGTCTTGCCTTAGATTAGTGTCATTCATTAGTTCACTTTAATAACAGGACTTATATTCTTGTACTGAGTACTAAAACCTTCTCTGAGTAAACTTTTGTGGATAGTTACTGCTGTTCTTTAAATTCAAGGGTTGGGGAACTAGTGATTACTTCCAAAGGACAAAATAAGAATGATTAGTAAATTAGAAAGCCATTGTGAAGATATGTTTTCTAATATTGGTTGTTGTTGTTAGTTGCGAAGTTGTGTCTGACCCATCGCGACCCCATGGACAACATTCCACCAGGCCTTCCTGTCCTCCACCATCTCCCGGAGTCCACCTAAGCTCACACCAACTGCCTCAGTGACTCCATCAAGCCACCTCATCCTCTGCCGTCCCCTTCTTCTTTTGCCTTCTATTGTTCCCAGCGTTAGGCTCTTCTCCAGTGAGTCCTTCCTCCTCATTAGGTGGTCAAAGTATTTGAGCTTCATCTTCATTATCTGGCCTAGTGATTGCTGCTAGAGCAAGAAAAACTCAGATAATGATGAACCTTGATGCCTGGTATATTTCAGGAATGTGCAAATGGAAAACACTGACAAAGTCATAGGCAAGGTGGGACAGACTGCCATCAAGTGATTCTTGGCTGAATGCTTTCTATAAAATACATCTAACTTCTATAAAATACATCCAAATTTTGCCTTTGGTTTCAAGACACTGAAGAGTGAGCCTCCTTCATTCTTATGCTCAGTTTCCACTAGTTCCTTCATATATGAAAGATTAAATTTGAAATCTAGGTGAAGCATTTTCTAGCTTAAATTCACCATAAAGATAGTTCCCCTAAAACATGCATTTTGTTTGTAAACACATCTTTGCCATTAACTATGCCTTACAGTAAGGCCTTGGGGTCCCCTTGGGCCATCTTTTCCTGTGTCTCCAGGAGGCCCTCTTGCACCTGGTTGTCCAGGAGGACCTGGTGGGCCAGCAGCTCCATCTTTTCCTTGCTCTCCCTGGAAGAAGTTCAGACAAAACATCATGAAGTGAAAAATATACCATCAATGGATGGATTGCATCTGCAAATAAATTGTACAGCAAAGTGGAAAGGTACCAGAAGACAGGGTAAAGGAACTGGTTATGTTTTGAGTATGATGATAAAATGTTAGGTTACACACAGACTAACCTTTCTATACTATGAAATCTTACTAAAACTAAAGAGTTTTTCAATTATTCCAAACTTAATTCATCATAACAACAAATATTAGTAGCTAGAACTTCAAACCAATTGATACCCAATGTGTGTGTACACATGATACAAAATTACTGGAAGTAATTGGTGTATTCTCTTGTTCCTCTCCATAGATGCTGGACAGGTACTACCTAGTTTTGGTGACATGACTATTGATTAGTGAAATGTCTTGCTTCTTTTAATAAGAAACAGATCAAATAACTGCAGAAGAGACTCCAATTCTTTACCATTTTGCAACATTGTAATGAGAAAGCATGAAAAAACTGCTCTCCAAATTAAGTTTGCAGGACAAACTTTTGAATAATGAATATCCAAAAATACTAGGTGTCAAGAAGCACCCTAGTTCATTTTGTACATGGCTATCTCAGTCAGTTCTAACATCTGGAAGATCCTGGTACATATATATTACACTCATATCCTTTTTCTCTTTCAAGAATATCAGTATTATATACAAAGGGTTCCCAGGCAGTTTCTGATCTAAGCGCTGAACCAGTGTAGTCCTATTTAGCTTCAGAAAGGTTGCCTTTAGATGAGAGTTGGGAAATGTGTTGCCTTCCAAATACTGTTAGACTCCACCAACCCTAGCCAGCAAGGCTACTGGTGGCACATGCTGGGAACTACAGTCCAAAAATGCTTGAAAGACCACATATTCCCCATCCCTGCTCTAGACCATACCTACTTTATGGTCAGCTTGGGAAAAAAAATCTAGTGATCTGTTGAGACATTTATTCTTCAAAGTGTGCTCTTTGTAGAAAACACAAACCAACCCTTTCCGAGGAAAGGGTTGACTGTCACAGCAAGAATACACACAGAACTACAATGTCAGCACATATCACACATCATGCTCATGGTGCATGTTGGGTAAGTGTCAAAAGCTAGTGAATACAAAAGTTGATTCAAAACAGGTATACTTATAATAAAGGCACTGATAATGTAAGAGGTGCACTGGTAAGGTGGCCACAATCTAGCAGATTATGCCTTTAGTTGTGGGAAACAGTAGAACTTTGATTTTGCTTCTTCAAGTAGCAGCCTTTTCATGAAATTTTAAGGTAGTTCCAAAAACAGTTTGCAAGATGAAATAAACATTTCATCTTTGAAAATGAATCCTCTGAATGGTTCTTATTGCAATCCTTCTCCCAGCCTCTCTCAAATACAATGCACTTCACAGTTTAGGATATTTAAAGAATGGCTTCTTTCAGCACATTCCTGGGTAGACTGAGAACTTAAGTCAGATCTATTCTATCATTTGGATGACCATGGCTGTCAGCTACTATTACTGTTGCCTAAATCATGATCTAATGTGAAAAAAGCAAGAAGCCAGCATCCCAGTTTGGTCATCTTCTTCAAGATATGGAAATGGGACTGAAACCCTCCACAACAATGGTAGCTTATAAAACACTTGATAACATCTGGACAGGATGACCCCCAGTGGCAGATGAGTATTTAATGCCATGCGGCTTTCTGTCTGAAACATAACTGTGAAAGCCAGAGTTATGACATCTTTTCAAAGTTCAGAAAATTTCCTTATGCATAATAATACATTTGTAAGATAAAAATAAATGGATTTAAATGGATTATTGTTTTTAATTTGTTATGTTATGTATATCCCACCTTTTGTTTTTCATAAAATGGGCAGGCTAAATTTGAAAATAGTACAGTTCAAAATCAGAGTCATTCTTCAGTTTCTGATCATCCAAGGAGCCAGAACCATCATCCTTGACAAATCTTCCATGGTTTTACTGCTTAGACAAAAATACTACTACTGTTTATGGAAAATTGGAAGCTGAAAGTCTTGTGTGCAGGGACTGTGTCAACAATCTGTACAGTACATGGCATTACTTAGATGCCATATAATAATTATGAGTACAAATAGCTGATTGGAAAAGATGACTGAGATATTAAATTAACATGATTGTTTCTGAATTCATATGGAATGACTAAGCTCTGACCAAATCAGAATCACAGATTAGAAATAGGATGCAGGAATGAAAGATGCATTCAGTTTTAGTTAACAGAAATACCTCAAATGGTTCACCATTTTTGCATTTCATTAAGAAGCAATATGCACTGTAAAATATATATTTTAGACTTCTGCTTATATAGTTTAAAATGGTTGAGAATTACTGCAGCAGTTCTAGAGGAAAGGTTCCCCAGGACAGATGTGTGTGAGTGCTTATACATATATAGGCACACTCACAGGAGCAGAAGCTAGGACCAGTTTTTACAGACAACAGCTGAAGTGGCAAACCTGTGTTTGGAGTGTCCTACTGCAGAATGCGAGTGGTAACATATTTGATAGAATGATCCTTGGTAGAAAATTCTTTCCTGCAGAAAACTAAATGCCAGAGAAAAGGTCTTAGGCCTAACCTTGTTCCTAACATGCCAGTTTTCTATGTCCAGGGAATTGTTTGGCATGGAGTCATGTGAAACACCAATTGCAGTCTGAAACAGTACTATAGTATGTGGCATCTGTTGTTTGAAAGAATTAGCCCTATGTTCTTTTGCTTCAGAGATGCTGGAAACATGGACCATTTTTATGAACGCATCCTTTGTATATAGGTATCGGGCAAAATGACTATTGTTACTATTGGCTATTGAAGAGTGCAATCACGCCAGTGGGAAATTAGACTTAACATTTTATGTGTGGGAAAATTTACTAGTTGTGACATTCATGAGGACTTTGTGCACACAGAAATGTTAGACCTACTTTTATGAAAGCAAATGCCGTATTCTGTGAACAAGCTGAGGCAAAATGGTACGTTTAAAGTTAACTGGATAATAGCTAAAAATTGTTCTGTTGATTGGTGAGGGATAGGGAATGTTTTCATTATTATTTTGGTACTTTTAGTGTGACTCTAACTATAAATGGCATTTGGTTCTTTTTGTTTATAATGTAAAGCTGTAAGAGACATTTTTAGAAAATAAAGGAATAGAACAGAAGAATAAAAGAGTAGAAATGAAGGAGGCATTATCAGATCTCAAATTAGATTTTTTTAAAGCAACCTCACAAGAAAACACAGCAAGCTAGAAGATTAAAAACAAGTCTACCTTAAGGACACGTCGGCTAAAAATATGCTGGTCAGATAGAAATCCATGACTGAGGCGAGGAAAAGCCATCTAGTCAATGTGTGGTGGGAAAGACAAAGAGGTCAAAACAAATGTTATGAAGGTAGAGAAAAACTGTATAGGTTCATTTAGCATTACATAAGAGAGGGACTCCCGCACGGAACAAACAGTTGGTATTAAAAGGTAGAATAATCAGGATATTTTAGCTTTCTAGTAATCACAGTATCTTGGACTATGAATGCACAGTTATTAGATTTCTCATAATCATGGTGACCAGGGCTATGTACATATCAAATATTCACTTTCTAAGTCATGTAGAAGAATGTAAGAGTTGAGTATTCATGTGTGTGCTATTAAACACCAGTCTCAAACACTTTTTTGTCTGTTCGTACACATATCACATGGGGAAAGGTCATCACTGAGTTGTAAAGCACATGGTCCCTCAGGCTAGATCCCTCAGACCTTCAAGTAAGGCTGAGAAAGGCCTTTGGCTGAAACCCCAAAGAACTGCTTCTAGTCACTGCCCTTAGGACTAATGGTTGGATGGACTAATGGTTTGATGCTGTGTAAGGCAGCATTATATGCTCCTATCTATGATATACATACAAATATGAAACAAGGCTTCAAAAGACAATATAAAAGAAACTCTATTCAAGTTAAACACAAATCTCATAATGGGATTTTGAAAGTAACCTTAGAGTCTGGGCCAATTTAAATGTTTAACTATCTGAAACTACAGCCCTAGGCATACTTGGTAGAAAGTAAGCTCCATGGAACGCAGGGGGACTCACTCTGGAGTAATCATGCACAGAATTGCAACTGCGTGACCCTTGTACTTGAGATTTGAGCTAAACTGTAAAACCCCTTTCAGGGCTGCAGGCCAACCTGTCAGCCATAATAAATCTCATTTATATTCAAGTAAGTTAAGCCCCAAAATAAAGTGTAACTTGAGTCACTGTGCAGTCTTATAAGTAGTTTAAATATAGAAAATATGAGTTTGACTACTTTGCCAGTCCAGTCTTTTGATTATGGTTAATATTTGACAGCTGAGGGAACCCAATTCATCTTCCTGACATATTGGAAATGAAACCATTTCTGTATATAATCAAGGGTGTTTCCAGAAAGCGCATCTGCCTCATAAAATAAATGAATGGGACAAGAAGCTATTTCACATGGCTTTATTATATGCATCAAAGTACATGTATAATCTTGATGCAATCCTATACCAAATTGTCCAGTGATGAATTTCATTGGTTCAAAAACCTTGGTTCATACAACACAATAAACCATAGTGGTTTATAAGCCAGAGGTGGCTTGCTGTGTTGTATGAATCCAGTCCAAGTTGTTAATAAACCATACTGATGGGTTCAGAGGAACCAACATGGCTCTTTTTGTTGAGTGAGCTCAGCTCATTTGACTTACTTCTGAATAGACATGAATAGAATTGCTCTGCCTTAAGTCAAGTAATTCAGCATTCATTGTGAGAAGTACAGATGTAGTGTGGCCAAGAAGAAGAGAATATGGCAGCAGAAGAACCACAGTCCTGCTCTGATACAAGAATTGTGTAATTTCATCTAAAGATCCCTGTCAAATCACAAGTTGCATGTAGCATGTAGCAGCTGCAGCCCAGATGATGCATTTTAATAACTGTACTCTCTAAAAGCTGTAGTGGCCAGTTTGATATTACTATAGTTTCGT